ATTGTTGTGGGAGCCATTACTACCATTCATCCTTATAGTAACTCTTTTTACCTTGTAAAACTGAAATTCTATACTCATTAAACAACTTCTCATTTTTCTACCATTATATATATTGTCTTTTTTATTGTTGTTAATCCTCACCCGAGGATATTTTTCCATTGATTTTTAGAGAGAGGGAAAGACAGAGAAATATCATTGTGAGAGAAACACATTGATTGGTTGCCTTCTGCACGAGCCCCAACCAGGGTCCAGGCTGGGTAGGAATCTGCAACCAAGGTACGTGTCCTTGACTGGCATTGAGCCTGGGACCTCTTTGGTCCACAGGCTGATGCTCTATTCACTGAGCCAAATCGGCTAGGCCATTTTGTCTTTTTGATTTTTGAATTCTCTTAAGTGCCTCATGTAAGTGGAGCCATACAATATTTTTTGTGTGTGACTAGCTTATTTCATTTAGCATAATGTCCTATCCATATTGTAGCATATTGCAGAACTTATTTTTTAGGGCTAAATAATAATCTGTTTTATGTATATATCTTTTTGCTTATCTGTTCATTTGTTGATGGCCACTTGAGTTGCTTCTACTTTTTAGCTATCTGTAATAATAAAAGCGTAATAAGCAAATCGACCGAACAGCTGAACAGTGGAATGACCATCCAGACAATCACGCTATGACACCCACTAGTGCCAGGCCAGCCAAGGCAGGTGTGATGCGATTTGTTGGGAGCCCCACCATTGCCCCATGATCACCCCACAGAGGGAGGCCAAGGTTACCTGGCTGGTGGTGCTGTGACAGGTGGGTGGAGCCTCCCTCTACAGGGCAATCAAGGGGCTTTCAGACTATAAGAGGGTGCAGGCCAGGCTGGGGGGAAACCACCCCCTGCACAAATTTCGTGCACTGGGCCTCTAATTGTAAATAATGCCACTATTAACATGGATGTACTAATATATCTTCAAGAGCTACTCTAAATTTTCTGAGTATGTACTTCAAAATGAAAATATCAGGTTATGTGGTAGTTTTATTTTTAGTTGTTTTTTCCACAGACTACCTACCATTTTACATTACTACTAATAGTGCTATAAGGTTTCTGTTGTCTTCTCATCCTCATCAACATTTGTGTTCTGTGTTGTTGTTTTTAAGAAAGTGTCTTTTTAGCGGGGCTGGTGCGGCCAGGCCCGGAGCAGCGGCTGCCAGGCTGGGAGCGGCCAGGCCCGGGGGAGCAGCCGGGCCGGGTGCGGCCAGGCCTGGAGCAGCGGCTGCCAGGCTGGGAGCGGCCAGGCCCGGGGGAGCAGGCGGGTCGGGTGCGGCCAGGCCCGGAGCAGCGGCTGCCAGGCTGGGAGCGGCCAGGCCCGGGGGAGCAGGCGGGTCGGGTGCGGCCAGGCCCGGAGCAGCGGCTGCCAGGCTGGGAGCGGCCAGGCCCGGGGGAGCAGCCGGGTCGGGTGCAGCCAGGCCCGGAGCAGCGGCTGCCAGGCTGGGAGCGGCCAGGCCCGGAGCAGCAGCAGCCAAGTCCAGAGCAACTAGGTCGGGAGCGGCAGTGACCAGACCCGGAGCAGCTGGTTGTGGAATGAACCAGAGCAACAGAGGCCAGGCCCTGAGCAGCCAGGCCCAGAACAGCTCGCTCCTTGCCTGCCCCTGCCCCACGGCTGCTTCTCAGACATGGCTGGAAACTTTCGTGGGAACTTGAGGGTCTGCTGAATCAAGTGATGAAGGCTTAGATCTGGATGTGTTGAGTTAGTTTAGGACTGGGGTGTTGATCTGTGAGTGCCTTGGGTGGGGCCTGGATGAGGCTGGTTGACCTAGAGGGAAATGTCTTTTGTGTGAAGTGTATCATTGGGCATGTGGAGGTATTATTGATATGAGAAAATGCTAAATAACTGATTTACTATCTGAAAAGGGATTTACTATTGGGGAAATTGAGGGAAGAAGAGACTGAACATAAACTGCACCTATGGATGAGGACAATGGGGGGTGGGGGGGGGGACGGAGGGTGGTGTGGGAACCTGGTGGAGGGGGGAAGAAATGAGGAACCTTTGTAATAATATGAACAATAAAGATTGATTTAAAAAAAATAAATAAATAAATAAAAAAAATAAATAAATAAAGTAAAAAGCCCATAATCTGTGGAAAGCATTTAAGGAAAAAAAAAAAAAAAAAAAAAAAAAGAAAGTGTCTTTTTAAAAAAATTGATTTTAGAGAGGGAGAGGGATAGAAACATTGATGAGAGAGAGACCTCAAACAGCTGCCTCCTGCACATCCCGCACTGAGGATTGAGCCCACAATATGTGCCTTGACTGGGAATCAAAGCAGGGATCTCTTGTTCATGGGTTGATGCTCAACTACCTAGCCACACCAGCCGGATCATTCTAATAGTATGCTAATGCGTATGAAGTGGTAAGTAACTTTTAACTTTTTTAGAGAAAGCAAAACATTCAACAAATTGAACCAATAGTTGAGTGCTTTCTGAACTAGATATAAAGTTCTACAAAAAATATAAAATTCAGTAAAATTTCATTTTTATCTTTAAGGAGCTTTAACATTAGGAAAAATATTAAATAGGAGATTATGGTGCAGTGTTTGGTTTCAGGCTAAGTAAGTACGTAAAAGTGCTAGGAGGAAAGAATTGCTTCATACTGAGTAATATAAAAAGGCATTATAAATGAAGTGGCATTCTGCTGGACCTTAAAATTAGTAAGTTTTTTTGTTTTTTACTTCTGAAGGAAATTTACAAGGAAAGCATTGGAGACAAAAGTTTCAGAGGGCAGGATAGCTCATTTGTGTTTTATTAGGAACAGGATATGATTCAAGCTAACTGGAACATAGAAATCATTTAGGAAGTTCTCAGTAAATGATTGGATTAGGTTATGACAAGGTTGGAATGTCAGACCAAAGATTTGTTGTTAGAAGCATCAAATCTCAGTTTTTTAGGATAGTATGGTCTGTTCCAGTGCTTTTTTTCCTGTAACACAAATTAATGGATGTAATTGTTAAATATGAGATTGATGCCAGTATAATGGGGAAGTTAGTTCACACATGATCTTTACCAGCATATTTACATTTTAAAACAATCAAGAACATTCTTTCTGGCAAAGAGAAACTATTAGTAATATAAGAAAATATTAAGGAGAACACTGAAAATCTTGCTGAAGTGTTATTTAGTAAAAATGATAGTTGGATAAGTAGCTTTAATAATGGTTTCATATTCCACAATGTTAAGCTCTGTGTTGAAGCAGTGAATACATTAACTGTTGTGAAGACATTTTCTTTGCATTAATAACTTTGTTTATTGAAGAAATCATAGTCTAGATGATATAAGTGAAGAGGCAGGGACTCCAGGATAATGCTAGGTACAAATTCAAGTGGAGACTTAATTGTACTAGTATTTTTATAAGGTTTTTTTTATTGTGTTATTTGGGGTTTTGGTTATAAAGTTACAATGATTTTGAGTAATCAGCCTTAACTCTGTTTTTCTCATAAGCTTTGTTATTTTTAGTTGCAATTTTCTGGAATTCAAGACTTGTTTGTTTGTTCCCGAAATGCTCATATCACATTCTAGTAGAAAGGGCTCTGCCACATTTTAAAAAAGAAGAAAATTCGTGAAGGAATTATTGCCCTAAGTTTTCAGTTTAATTTTCTGACAAAATGTTTATTGAAATTTATTACAACTCTTGATATTTATACGTGGTACTCTGATTCACTTACTTTTTAAAGAAAATTATTTTTATTGATTTCAGAGAGGAAGGGAAAGAGAGAGAGAGGGGGAGGGAGGGAGGGAGGGAGAGAAAGAGAGAGAGAGAGAGAGAGAGAGAGAGAGAGAGAGAGAGAGAGAGAGAGAGAGAGAGAAACATCAATGATGAGAGAGAAGCATTGATTGGCTGCCTCCTGTATGCCCCCAGCTGGGGATCAAGCCCGAAACCCAGGCATGTGTCCTTGACTGGAATCGAACCCAGGACCCTTCAGCCTGCAGGCCATCGCTCTATCCACTGAGCCAAACCTGCTAGAGCTGATTCACTTAATTTTTAATTGTGGAATGTTCTAATTCTAATTTTAATGGAAATTTACATTTGAAATTTGTGTCAAATTAAGTATTTTTATGTAATAACCAAAATGCCTCTACTTATGAACTCTGCTATTTGGCTTTGCTTGAGTAGTGAATTTATCTCCTAAAAGTTACACACAAATTTCAATCAGTATAACCTTAACTTTTGAAGGACTATCGAGTTGTTTGTATAAGTTTATTATCACAGAAAATGTCCACTAGTAGGTCTCATTCTCTTGTATAAAAAACCAGCTGCTTTGTTGGAATTGAAAGCCTAAGTTAAATACAGAGTGGGGCAAAAGTAGGTTTACTGTTGTTTGGATGGAAAATAATACAAGAATAAACTCTGTTTTGTGTACTCACAACTGTAAACCTGCTTTTGCACCACCCTGTATATAGAATTCTGATTTATTAGGGAAGTCTCAAATAGGGTTCTCTCTTCATTTTCGTGAAATAAGGGCTAGTCCTTTAATTTCACTCAGCTATAATATTAAATTTGTATTCGTTTCAATGAAAATATTTTTAGCATTCCATTTTTTAAAATATATTGTTATTGATTTCAGAGAGGGGGAGAGAGAGATGGAAACATCAATGAGAGAAAAGCACTAATCAGCTGCCTCCTAATGGGAATCGAGCAACCCACGCATCTGCCCAATAGAACTAGGGACCTCTTGGTTTCTGGGTCAATACTCAACCCCTGAGCAACATTGGCCAGGCTAGCATTCCATTCTTACTAATCAACACAAAGAACAGCATCTTTCTACTTTTTGAGCAAATAAAACCAATGAATTTTAAAATAAAACTTAGTTGGCATTACTTTTATGGATAGAAAAGTCCGTAAATTAAAACTTACTGATGTCACTTATTTTAACTCCATATCTTTGTAAAAATGTGTTTGTACTGTGCTGCTATTTAGCATTTTGGGGATCTTTTACTTTTAAAATAAAAATACTGTTTTGATTACAGAAAGACCCAAATGGGACCAGTAGTTTGCCAACTGGAAGTTCTCTTCTACAAGAAATTGAAGTGCAGAACGAGGAAGTAGCAGCTTTTTGTCAATCCATTACAAAGTAAGGAAATTTCTTTTCTAAATGAAATATTATTTTTTATTAAATGCTTGCTTAAAAGTTTATTGAAAATTAACTTAGAGCTAATAATTCTAAATTCTTTAAGTTTTTAATAATTTTATCCCTGTGGCTTAAAATTTTAATTGGAACATAAACAAACTACAGTTGAACCTGTATTCTTATGTCTTATGTTTTTGAGTATTTAGAAGAAAGATTGAAGTCATGCTATAGATGTCTGATAATCTATTAACCAATGAAACTATGTCTTAAACATTCAACTTTCAGTATACTTAGATAATGCCTTTTTTGTTTTGTTTTAGGGACACTATTTTGCTACATATTTTTCTACCATTCAAAATATTGTTCTACTTATGTAAGAGATAACAGGCACCATTAGAAGAACAAGTATATTTTCTGGATATTAAAAAATGCATTTCTAAAACGTTCTTTTAATCTTAAATCTGTCTAATATTATTTATAGATGAGGGAATTGAGACTCAAGAGAAGTTACCTACCAAGCTTACCAAACTAGTCCTCCAGGTTTCTTTTGTTTCTGGTTCAGTATTTTTTCTTTCCATTATATCACTGGATTAGCTGGACTTCCATTATCCTATATAATAAAAGGCTTATATGCAAATTGTCCCCTCGAGAGTTTGACCGACTGAGTTTGACTGCTTTCTATGACGTGCACTGACCACCATGGGGTGGGCGTGGAATGAACGAAGGCCCCAGCTGTCTGGCAGCCAGCAGCCGGGGAAGGAAGGCCCTGGCTGGCAGCCCGCAGCTGGCAGCTGAGGGAAGGAAGGCCCTGATCGACCCTAATCACTGGCCATGCCTAGGGACCTTTCCCATGCACAAATTTTGTGCACCGGCCTCTAGTAAGTACTAAAAACCCATCTCAAACTAGTTTAAATCAAGAAAGATTATGTATTGGTTTACAAGCCAATATAGCAGAAAGAGGAAGGATGGGACAGAGCTACTAGCAAATGACAGCCAGATCTAGGAATTCATATACTGTAAGGACCCTCCTCCCTTTGGATTCTGTTTTCTAATTTTCTGTCCTTCTATTTTCCTTTTCTTCCACTGCAGATGAGGTTTTGAAGGCAGGAAATACAACCATGATAGGTTAGATTTCACAACCTAATGGTCTTGCTAGTAAAGACAAAATGGAGTTCTCTCAGCCAACAGCAGATAGAAAAAAACCCTAAAAGGGAAAAGTGGAAGTGGCTAAGGGCATGAGATATCTTATCAAAAGAAGGGAAAGTAGATCACCACTCTTTATTCTGAATAAATTTATTCTGAATCCCATATTTTCCCCAGTGTGATTTACTTTAAGCAAAGCAGAGTTTGGGATTTCCAGACAATTTTTGAGTAGGTACATTATTTTAATGTAATTTAATGGATTTAATATTCAACTAGATTTTCTAGAGTATTGGTAATATTTCATTAAAACTGTCTTTCTTTATGTTACCTTTTAACCAAAATTTCTGTTCTGCAGAATACGCTGGGGGGAGGGAGGGGAGAAGAAAAATATCAGTAGAGCCACCTTTTCTTCCCTGCAGAGATTACTATTACTCTTAACTGGATTTTAAAACTCGTATTTTTTTCACTGGGCATATGAAATAGGAGACAAGCCCTGACTTGTTTGGTTCAGTGGATAGAGAGTCAGCCTGCGGACTGAAGGGCCCCAGGTTTGATTCCAGTCAAGGGCATGTACCTTGGTTGTGGGCACATCCCCAATAGTGGATGTGCAAGAGGCAACTAATCAATGTTTCTCTCTCATCGATGTTTTTAACTCTCTATCCCTCTCCCTTCCTCTCTGTAAAAAAATTATATAGGACAGTTTGGATGACTTAGTATGCAAATTGCATTTATTAGAAATTACCTATGCCATTATGTCATTATGTTTGTGTGGTTAATAATTTGGGAATAATCTTTTACTTTAGTGGTTTGGAAATGCTCTGTTATGTGTTCATCTAGTCCCTTAATTCTCTCTAGAAGTCCTTTGTGTTTTCTATGAAACTGTTGAATGACTATTGCATTTAATTTAAGAAATTAGGCTCTCTGTGATCTACCTTTTCTCACTACTTGAATCTTTGAGTAATTTACAAAGACCACCAGTAATCTACAATGATTTTTTTGGGGGGGGGGGATCAAACATTCATTCATTCATTCATTCATTCATTTATTTATTTTAAATATATATTTTATTGATTTTTTTTACAGAGAGGAAGAGAGAGGGATAGTTAGAAACATCGATGAGAGAGAATAATCGATCAGCTGCCTCTTGCGCACCCCCTACTGGGGATGTGCCCGCAACCAAGCCCTTGACCGGAATCAAACCCGGGACCTTTCAGTCCATGAGCCAAACCGGTTTTGGCATTTATTTATTTAGTTAGTTAGTTATAATCCTCATCCAAGGATATTTCTCAAACATTTATTTGTTTGTTTGTTTTGTTTATAATCCTCATCCAAGGATATATTCCCACTGATTTTTAGAGAGAGTGGAAGAGAGAGGGAAGCACAGAGAGAAACATTGATGTGAGGAAAACACATTGATAGGTTGCCTCCTTCATGCTCCCAGCCTGGGGAGGAACCTGCAACCAAGGTATATGCCCTTGACCTGAATCAAACACAGGACCCTTTGGTCCGCAGGCCCACGCTTTATTAAAAAGATTATTTTTTTATTTATACACACACACACACACACACACACACACACACACACACACACACACACTCTGGCTTGTGTAATATGAAACCCTAAAATGAACTAAAGAAAGAGTGAATTCTTCTTGTAATTTTACTTTCTTTAATAGAGTATGATTCCAACAAATATTTCAGAGCAGTAGAAAGCAGACGTGCACTTTTTGTGTTTTTAGGCTTCACAAGTGTGTGTGTGATCCTTGGACAAGGGCCATGCTAATCCTCTATGTTTTAGTACATGTGCTGCCGAAGTGAGCACTGAAATAGAGGTGTTTTTGAAACCATATTCTAGGAACTTCTCTTGTTCCCCTGTGACCTGGGAGGTTGAAGTCAGGAGGAGATGTCCCTTTAAGAAATGAATGGCTCTTTTTTCCCCTGTGATTTAATTGTTTTAATCTCTACAGAAGCAAATAGGCAGCACTTCCAGTATTCATTTCATTTATACTCTGTGAAAAAGTAGATTGGAAGAATGGAATTCATCTTCTAATTTTCAGGAAAATGTTAAAAAGAAGTCCCTTAGTTTAAAGAGGGCATCAAATCCTCTTTTGTTTTCTGATAACAGAAGTACTGTCTGGAGATGAGCTGTACACCATGCTCATATTTAAATTTAAATGATATTGCTCCTTTGAATATCTATAAATGTTATGAGTACTTTTATAGGAAATTCCTTGTGTTTTAGAAATTACTTTGAGGAAATCAAGGCCTCATAGCACTATGTTTGTGTTTGTGTGTCTGTGTGCTTTTAAATCATTGTCTAACAACCAGAAACAATGTGTAGGAAAAAGAATCTTAGAAAAAAAGATGTTTTAAAAGACAACAAACCTTTTATTCCTCCAGCAGTTACAATCTAAGGCTATATCACCTATATTATCACTTCTAGTTAAAAATGTACCATTTTGTGTAATTATACTGTGTAGCAAAAGAATCTGAAACAAAGCACCTCATTTAATGCTATGTGTCCAGTTAATGTTGATAATGCTACCAAAGGCATCCTGGCAGTATTTAATCTCTTTCCTTGAATTCCTTTGATTTAAAAGGCAAATTCTGGTATTTGGAGTTTTGACAGGGGTCCATTCATTGCAGTTCTCATGAGCTGCTCTAGAATTGAACAAAGGCACAGAATTGAATAGCTGTAAGCATGCAAAGCCTTGTTCAGAGCTCAAATAAATGCAGCTTTAAAAAAAAAAATAATTTAATTTCTTCTTTCTTGTGAACAGATTAAAGACCAACTTTCCATATACCAATCACTGCACAAATCCAGGCTATTTGTTAAGTCCAGTCACAGTGCAAAGAAATATATGTGGAGAAAATGCTAGTGTGAAGGTCTCCATTGAAATTGAAGGATTTCAACTACCAGTTACTTTTACATGTGATGGTAAGTTTGTAGTTCCCAACCGTCCTGTTTTGCTCTGATTAGAGAGGAAGTGTTTAAAATATTAATAATTTTCATTCTCTTAAGAAACCAACTCTGTTATTAGTATTCTTCTTAAAAAATGTGTGTGTGTGTGTGTGTGTGTGTGTGTGTGTGTGTGTGTGTGTGTGTAAGTAAGGTAAAATACTTAACATTCATTAGTTACTCTTTCAAAAAGTTAGCATTTCATCTGGATACTTTCTTGGTTAGGAGCAGTGGGAAAACAGTTTACCTTTGTAATGCTGTACATATTTCTCTGAAAAATGCTGATTAACTCTGGTTAATGAGTGCTCTTGGCCAAGGCCCCAAAACATTAGATAAAAAGGCCAATCGATAACTAATAAAATAGAAAATCAATTTTTAAAATATATATTTTATTGATTTTTCACAGAGAGGAAAGGAGAGGGATAGAAAGTTAGAAACATCGATGAGAGAGAAACATCGACCAGCTGCCTCCTGCACACCCCCCACTGGGGATGTGGCCGCAACCAAGGTACATGCCCTTGATCAGAATCGAACCCAGACCCCTCAGTCTGCAGGCCGAAGCTCTAGCCACTGAGCCAAACCGGTTTTGTCAGGAAATCAATTTTTAAAAATTTTTTTGTTTTATGGCAAGAAGAATGCTTGTTTATAAAAACTCTCAGTGAAATTGAAATTCCAGTTATCTTGCTAAGCTCCTCTCTTCTAAGGCAGTGATTTTCAACCTTTTTTCATCTCATGGCATACATAAAAATATATTGCCAGTCTGCCAAAAAAAAAAAAAAATGTATAATTTTGATTCATTCACTCCAGATGACTATTGTGTTGATTGTTGTCATTTTCTATTTTTTCTTAAACATTTTTTATTGATTTCATAGAGCTGTGGTAGGCAAAATGCAGCTTGTGAGCCACAAGCAGCTCTTTTGGCCCCTTGAGTTTTTAGCAAAAGGCCAGTTTAGGAATACCCTAATTAAGTTAATAACAATGTACCTACCTATATAGTAAGATTTAAAAATTTGGCTCTCAAAAGAAATGTCAATTGTTATACTATTGATATTTGGCTCTGTTGACTAATGAGTTTGCTGACCACTGTCATAGAGGAAGGGAGAGGAAGAGAGAGATAGAAACATCAAAGATGAGAGAGAATCATTGATGGGCTGCTCCTGCACGTTTGCTACTGGGGATCGAGCCTACAACATGGACATGTGACCTTGACCAGAATCAAGCCCAGGACCCCTCAGTCCGCAGACTAATGTTTTATCCACTGAGCCAAACCGGCTGGGGCGTCATTTTTTAAATTGACAATTTAAGGGAAAAGAGGTCAGTGCCTCTGACTAAATAGTCAGGTATGGCATGTTTTAAAAATTCTTGCAACACACCAGTGAAAATCTCTGCTCCAAGTAGAAGGTATTTTTCCTTTAGTTCTAAGTCTTTCTTCAAAATTTGATATAGGAAGTTTTTTGTTATAGTTTTAAAAACTACTTTTATTTTCTTTCATAGTTTATTGCTTTTCACAATGTATATTATTTTAATGGGATTCCAATAGTAGAATAAGATCCTGTATTTCTATAGCACTTTAGCCTAAAAATTATGCTATTTTTTTCTTTAATGGTTATAACTCAGAATATGTCTAATATTGGATACTTTGTAGCTTTGTACTTTTCAAGGCCCTTTGAAAAAATCTGAAACAAAAATATTAGCCAACTGTGAACAGTCAATATTTAATTTCTAAAGGAAGAATTATTTTAAAATATGCCTCACATTTTGGTTAGAAAGAACATTTAACTCTTAAGTATGCAGTAAGAATTAATACTAAAATGGAAGAAAATAAAAAGACAGTAGGTCTCTTGATTAAAATAAGCATGAGTATCAATGCTTACACAATGATAATAAATGTTTTAATTTGTATAACATTTTGATTTGCTATATCAAGATCTGATTGCTTAAAAATTTTTAATTTGCATAACATTTTGATTTGCTATATCAAGATCTGATTGCCTAATGTTTGGTTCTTCATAGATGCGCACATTTATAATGTACATTTCTGTAAAGAAATGTAACTATATTATGATACAAATAGTTTGTATGTTCAAATGATACATGTTACCACATACTTAACTATTCAGAAATGTAGCCATTATATTAGATAGAGGTTTTATGGCCTTTTTTGTCAAGCGGATAATTTTCATGAAGTTTTTTTTATTTATTTTATTCTTTTTTTTTTAATTGATTTTTTTTAAGTATCTTCTCTAGTCTTTTTTTTTTTTTTTTTTTTTAAGATATTTTATTGATTTTTTTTTACAGAGAGGAAGGGGGAGAGAGAGAGAGCTAGGAACGTTGATGAGAGAGAAACATCGGCCAGCTGCCTCTTGCACACTCCCCACCCAGGATGTGCCCACAACCAATGTACATGCCCTTGACCAGAATCGAATCTGGGACCTTTCAGTCCGCAGACTGACGCTCTACCAGCTTTGGCAATTTTCATGAAGTTTTAATGTAATCAGTGTCTTCTAAATCAAATATAGGAGCTTGAAGTATAGAAATAGTTTACTTTAAAGGCTACCTTTGTTTTAATGTGTTGTGATCTTAGTATCCAGCTGTTGCCCAGAATGATAATTGAACAATTCTTTCACTTGCTAGATTTTTATTCTTTATCAGAAGATTTACCAGGCAAATGTCAAACATTTAAAATGGTAATTCTTTTTCTTAATGATGGTTTAAATCATTGTTTGCTAGATACTGCTAAATGCCATCCTTTTTGGAAGTGTCTGTAGTAGGGAGATAACTAGCTTAGCTTAGATCTGCCCTAAGATAGTAATCAGTAGCCACAGGTGGTTATTGAGCACTTGAAACATGATTAATTTAGATGTGCTGTAAGTGTAAAATACACACTGGATTTTAAGAGAATATAAGATATCAGAAATTTCAAAATCTGGATATGTTAGGTTAAGTAAAACATGGCTTCACCTATTTTTTTTATTTTATTTTTTTTACCTTTTTCATTGTGGCTACTAGAAAATTTTAAATTATAGATGTGACCTGCATTATAGTTTATTATATAGTGCTGTCTTAGGTAACAAGAAATAGAATCTGAATAAATGTATACTTAGAGTTAAATAAGCAAAATGAAAATGATGACTAACTCTTTTACAGTGAGTTCTACTGTAGAAATTATTATAATGCAAGCCCTTTGCTGGGTGCATGATGACTTGAATGAAGTAGATGTTGGCAGCTATGTTCTGAAAGTTTGTGGTCAAGAAGAAGTACTGCAGAAGTAAGTTTATTCACTTAACTACTGAGCAACATCATTGGAAATTACATTTTTAACAGTTTAAATTAGAAAAATTTCAAGTTCAGTTTGTAATTCAGTAACACATTGGGTCCTACTAAATTGATTAATTGTATCAATAAACTTGTATGAGATTTATTTTGTCTAAGAAATCATGTTGGGCTAAGACAGTGGAGGGATTTCAGAGATAATTAAGACATGGTATTTCCCTTAAAAAGCTTATATTCTCAGCTTTGGTGGGAAGCTCAGTTGGTTAGAACGTCATCCCAATATACCAAGTTTGAGGGTTCAGTCCCCAGTCAGGGCACATAAAAGAGTCAAGCTGTGAGTCAATGCATAAATAAATGAAACAGTAAATCTGTTTTTCTCCTCCCCCTATCTAAAACCAATAAGTTAAAAAAAAAATTTTTTTAAACGCTGTAGTCTCAGATGGGAAGAATTGTGGGCATTTGGTTGATAAGAGAATTTAATGTTTTCTTTCTGCAAAGGGTCACATCTTTATAGACTCCACTTTCCTTTTGTAGCATGCATTACTTATACACAGTATTCTACTGTGGTTTCTTTTTTTATTATATATTTTTATTGATTTCAGCGAGGGAGAGGGAGAGAGAAATAGAAACATCAACGATGAGAGAGAATCTTCAGTAGGCTGCCTTCTGCACACCTCCCACTGGGGATGGAGTTCGCAATCCTGACATGTGTCCTGACCAGGAATTGACTGTGACCTCCTGGTTCATAGGTTGATGCTCAATCACTGAGCCACACTGGCTGAATAATAATATTATTATTACTGAAATAATCATATGAACCAAATAATTATTATATCTGGAATTTAGTCTAGTTAGTTATATTTTAGATTTCATTCTCTTAAGCTACTAAAAATGTCCTGTCTCTATTTTTCTTATTTTCTTCATCTTTCTTTTTTGCTTTGATTCTTCTCAAGTAGAATTACTCCTCTACTTAAATGCTCACTCTGATTAAAAAGCTTTCTCTGTATTTTACCATTCTGTTTAATTTCTGATGCAGATACAACTTCGTATTTTACTCTCACCTCTATAATTTCTAGTTTGAAGAAAATAACATTGATGAATCATTAATATATTTTAACAGTAATCATTGCCTTGGAAGTCATGAACATATTCAAAACTGTAGAAAATGGGACGCAGAGATTAAACTGCAACTTTTGACCTTAAGCGCAATGTGCAAAAATTTGGCCAGAACAGTAAGTGTTTACCATATAACTGCATTGCATTTGATTAAATCTGAATAATTCTACTAATGAGCCAATTTGCAGTTTGCATATTCTCCAAGATTTCTGGGTTGATCTGGAAATGATGAACTCTGTATCTCAACAGATGTGTGAGATTTTTAATCATGGAGGTGTAGTAGCATACTACTCAGAGCGGGGGACCTATATGAAAATCAAAGTGGAGAGATTAAAAATTTGATTTGTAATTGTTTTACACAAGAATGAAAACAGTAGGATCCAGCCAAGGAGAAATGAGAAAGAAGGAAAGATTTTGAATACTAAATACAGTTTGAGGGGAAGGGAGAGGGAAGAAGAAATTTATATTGACCTTTGCACCAAACTGAGAAAATTACTTTATTTTTCACCAAATAAAAACTAATTCTGTGTTTTAAAGTACAGTTAGGGAGAAGAAGATAGTGGGAAGGGCATGTGAACAAAAGCACATAGGTGTGACACATGTGTTGGAAGTATAAGCAGTTATGTAATAGAGTACAAAATGTGAAGTGAAGATGACATTGGAGAAAGCTAGACATAATTTACGATGTTATTCAAATAGCATGCAGAAAATGAGGCCATTTTATTACTGTATATTCACTTGATGAATTTTAATGTCTAAGGAGAATTATTCATTTGGTAGAATTTGGGGTGGGAAAAAATCAGACATTTCTACGTTCTCTTCTTTATTTTCTTAAATTCTACTGTTGTGTTAGAATTGATTAATTGGGTGTAAATTATTTCACAAAATTCAGTATATTTTAGCAATCATTAATAACTAATCTTTTCAGTTTCTTAAGGAATGATATTCTTGAGTATATTTGCATAATAAGGACTTATTGTAGGAGAGACCAGTATTTTATTTATTGGGGGGTTAGGTGGAAGGAAACTTGATAATCCTTAGAAAGAAAATGGAGAAATTCAAAGATCTCTTCCCCATCTGGCTCTCTCTCTACCTTCATTTGGCTGTCAGCCATCTTTAAAATTATTTTTAGCTTCCTAGTCTCTGTATAGAACAGAAGTAGTTTTTGCTTTGGGAGCTATTTATATATGAAAAAATGAGACTTAAAAGAATTTGTTTATCTATTTAAAAATGTTTTAGAGGGTTGTGGGGGGGAGAGGGGTGGTGGTGGTGGTGGTGGTGGAGACATTTAAGGGATAAGGACACCTATGTAATACCTTAACCAATAAAGAAAAAAATGATTTAGGGTATTGATTCACTGTTTTGGAGTCCATTATAAATAATATTTTAGCCTCAGTTCTGAAAAATCACTTTAGTTTCAAGAATAGTACATTCAACCATATTTAATTTGGCAATAGAAAGACCAAAGAATGGATTGTTTTTTTGGTAAACATTTGTGTATATATGTTTGTTTAGGCAGAAGATGATGAAACACCTGTGGATTTAAACAAACACCTGCATCAAATAGAAAAACCTTATAAAGAAGTCATGACAAGGTGTGACATCTAAAGCATTAATTGCGGGTTTTTAAACTTTGCTTTTGGATGTGAATACATTGATTTTGATAAACAAAACAGTCATTTTTGTATATAGTTTCCTTCAGCCACAATAACTAACTGTTCTTTATTTCAGGCACCCTATTGAAGAACTTTTAGATTCTTATCACAGCCAAGTGGAGCTGGCTCTTCGAATTGAAGTACGTCTAAATTCACAGTTCAGCGTGATGAGTTAAAGATTCTTGTCTCTGTCCTCATTTATTTTTATTTATTTATTTATTTATTTATTTATTTATTTATATTTCTTCTTCTTTTTTTCTGTCCTCTTTTAAATACTAGTGTTGGCTTTGGATAAAATGTTTACGAAGGGCTACTTGAATTATACTCTTGACATTGATGTTCAATGACTTGTATTCTGACCCATCTTATTAACAAAAGTTGTTGATAATGCTAAGTCAACATGTCTATTCTCACTTCAGCTTTATTACTAAGAGGAACCTTCATTTCAATTCAAACCATTCATTGAATGCTTACTATATGCTAATTATTGGAGTTATGAAAATGAAAGACCTAGTCCCCATCTACTCGGGATTTGAAACTAGTGATGGGGGATTTAAACAAAATTTTAATATTAAATATAAAATAGAGGTATGGGAGATCAGAAAAGGACATGTCTCTCTACTTAAGGATACAAGGAAGTCTAAGAAGGGATGTTGCCTGAGCCACCTGTTAAATGGCATGAGTTAGGGAGAAGATAGTGGGAAGGGCATGTGAACAAAAACACAGGTGTGATATATGTGTTGGAAGAATAAGCACTTATGTAATAGAGTTCAAAATGTGAAGTGAAGATGACATTGGAGAAAGCTAAACATAAGTTACTACCTTATAATACATGCTAAAGAGTTTTACTTTATCCTCTAGATCAGAGGGCTGTATCTAGTCTACTTCCTGTTCTTATAAATAAAAATTTTTTTGGAACACAGCCATATCCATTTGTTTATATAATTTTCTATGCTTGCATCTATGCTAATCCCTGCTCTAGCCATTTGTGGTATTTTTAGCTGAGAATAGGAAGTGGAGTGGGGTGGAATAGGGTGTGTGACATGGTTAGTCCTGAGTTCTGAAGTCACTCAGGCTATACTGTGGAGATTAGATTTAGGGTTGGCAAATTTAGGAAAAGTATAGGAATGCTACTTAGGAAGGTTTTGTTTGTATAGTAGTCCAGAGAAAGATAATGACTATGGTGAAGGTTGAAAAGGGGGGAACTGATTAATAATACTTAAGAGATACAATTGATAAGGTTTTTTTTAAAAAAAATGCATATTTTTATTGATTTCAGAAAAGGAGAGAGAAAGATAGAAATATCAGTATCAATGAACAAAAAGAATCATTGATCGGCTGCCTCCTGCATGTCCCCTCTCCCCATGGGGATTGAGCCTGCAACCTGGGCATGTGCCCTTGATGGGAATGGAACCCGAGATCCTTCAGTTCACAGGCCAACGCTCTATCCACTGAGCCAAACCAGTTAGGGCAGTAAGATTTTGATAGGTAATGAGATACAATAAGAAGAAATAGTGTTAGATATCTTCCATATTTCTAGCTAGTAGTACATTCTTATCAGCATACTAGAAGCCCGATACACAAAATTTGTGCAAGAGTAGGCCTTCCTTCCCCCTGGCTGCCAGCACTGTCTTTTTGGCACCCAGGACTTGGGCTTCCCTCATAGGCTTGGCTTCATCCAGAAGGTCGTCAGGAAGGACTTCCTTGTATAATTAGCATATTATGCTTTTATTATTATAGATACACATCTTTATTCAATAAATGTTTACTGAGTATCTCATTGCGAAGAACTGTTGTAGGAACTAAGGATTCGGGAGTGAACAAAAGAAACTGTAATCCCTTCCCTTTAATTCTAGTTGGAGGAGACAGACAATAAAATATACTAACAAAGTATATGTGATATCAGGTGGTAAGTGATACAGAGAAAAATAAAGGAGGAGAATAATGTTGCAATTTCAAATAAGGTAGTCAGAGAAGGCCTCCTTGAAAAGATTTGAGTAAATTTCTGAAAGAGTAGAGAAAGAAATTACTGGTTATCTGGGGGAGGAGTGTTTTTTATATATTTAAGGTCCACCAGGTCTTTATAGCTGGAATAGAATGAGAGAGGAAGGCAAGAGTAGAAACAGATCAATTAAGAAAATGTTTTGCTAGCCTCGGGAGAGATGGTGATTACTTGGACCAGAGTGTTTATAGTAGAAGTGGTAGGAAGGAGTTGAATTCTGTGATATATTTTGAAGTTTATGCTAGGATGATTTACTCATAGGTTGGATGAGGAACATAAGAGAGAGGGAAAGAGGGAGGGAGGAAGAAAGATTGAAAGAAGAGAGAGCACACGCACAGAGTGAGCATTTGGAGCTTTGGAATTGCCTTTTAGTGAGATGTTGAAAATTGTAAAAAGAGAAATTTGGGCGAAAGATCTGATACTCAGTTTTGGATATTATAATATGTTTGATATGACAGTTATTCATCCAAATAGTGATGTTGGATATAAATCTGGAATTTAATGGAGGAGGTCCAGGCTGGAGATGATGGTAACTTGGGAATCATCAGACTATAAGTGGTATTTTTCAGCCATAGGACTGAATGAAATGATCATTGCAGGTAGAGGTGGAGGGGGGGAGAGGAATAAAAACAAGCTATAGGACTGAGTTCTGGATATCTCTCCCATCTTGAGTAAAGTCCACATTTCCCTGTAGCTGCCACTCCACTTCTCTGTTCTCCTTGCAGCAGAACTCTTGAAAGTTAGTATGTTTTGCTGCTTTCACTTCCTCTCTTCCCATTCTCTTACTAACCCTCTCCAGTGAAGCTTTCAATCTCAGGACTATTACCTCTAGATTGAGGAACAGTGGGTAGTGAAGGAACTTTAAGAACTTATGATAGAGCCTCTCCCCCACCTCATAATTTATGGCTGTCACAGGAACACACAGGTAGCCTATAGCAAAGAAACTTGCCAGAGTTATCAGATTGGGAGAGTTTGGCCTGAGGGTGCCTGGTCTTTAAGGATCACTGAGCTACTACCCTGAATTTAAAAATGGAGGTCTGGAACCCTGATGAGACCTTCATGCTGCTATTGCCTGCTAGTGTCCCTTTGGTGCCCTCTATTGACAAATCCTAACATTGTTCCAGTTGGCAAAAAGAGATGTTTATAGGGTCTAGCTCCAGTACCACAAAGAAGACCATAGAAGAGTGGATTTGAGACTGATATATAACAATTTGATCATTGGAACATAAAAAAATGATGAAGAATAGTATAGGAAAATGGCACGAGCCTCAAAACTGGAAAGGTTTTGCATGAAGGTGGAGAAATAAAAGTAAGCAGAAATATAAGTAAGTAAAAATAGGGAACTAGATAATAGACCTTCAGCCCATGAGGACTGCCAGGTAATCGGGTATTTGAGAAAATAAGGTGGCTTCATTTAAGCATGAAAGTGAAGGGAACATTCAGTTTATGGTAGCCAAGCTTCAAGAGTGGAAAATTTTAAATTTTTAAGGGTGGTACAGTACTGAGTTTCAGCCCATTCTTACAGTACTTGGCATGTAAGTTAGGCATAAATGTTTGATGAATTAATGCATTATATAAGAATGTTTCTTAATGAGATAATGTACTTTAAAACAATGATGGGGAGTGGAGAAGTATTTTAAATCATTAACATCAGGTAAATGATTTTATTACATATTTGTACACATACTTTTGAATCATGGTGAATAAACTATACTTGAATATAGTTCATAGGGATTTTCCTCAAGGAAGTTGTTTCTTCTAACAGAATTTTTTTTAAATGGTGGTTTTATAAATGCAAATGATGCTTTAAAATTGGCTAATTTCTAGTAACTGTTGTTCATTGTTATTAATATGTAACCAGCCTGTAAAGAACTTGGTTTTTTATACCAAATTTTCATAGGATGGAGAGAAGGGTTATTTTTTTTTATATGGAAATTATTCCCAATGAAAATAAAAAAGATAACTTTTTTTTAGAGATTTAGTAATTTGTTAATAATTTATTGCTATTGTTTTTATTCTAATACAAAACTAATGTTATTTGCATATAAATAATTGTTAGGCAAATGAAAATTAACCAAGCCTGCTTTTTCCTACTTTAAAGTAAACTATATCATTGAAATGCTGGTTTGTTTGTGTGTGTTTTTTTTTTTCCACCACAAAAGAGTAAAGAATATCTGTTCTTAGGTACATCAGAAATATCTAGTTTCTGGCTTCATGTCTGAAATTGATCCTTTAAATTCTATGTACTTATGTTTATTTTCCTTTTTTCTTTTTTCTTTTTTTAAGAACCAGCACCGAGCAGTAGATCAAGTGATTAGAGCTGTAAGAAAAATCTGCAGTGCTTTAGATGGTGTAGAGACTCCTGCCATTACAGAATCAGTAAAGAAGCTAAAGAGAGCAGTTAATCTTCCAAGGAGGAAAAGTGCTGATGTGAGTATTTTTTAGTAACTAGCATTTTATTACATGCAGATATGTAGTACTTTAGTGATTATCTACTGCTTATACTGAAATGTTATTTTAATTTTGGCTTTACTCTTTTTTGTGTGTATGTGTGTGTGTGGGGGGGGGGTTGTTAATCGTCATCTGAGGATATTTTTTCCGTTGAATTTTTATTTTTAGAAAGAGAGATATGAGAGACATTGATCAGTTGCCTCCCACACATAACCCACCAGTGGTCTGAGATTAAACCTGTAACCCAGGTACATGCCCTTGACTGGGAATTGAACCCGAGACTCTTTGGTACACATGCTGACACTCTAACCACTGAGCACACCTGCCAGGGCTTTGCTTTACACTTGATTGGGTGACTTACCTGGTAAGGTAGGGAATTCCTAAGAGGATAGGGGCTGCCTTGGAAGTTTTGTGAGAGCTTTCATAGAATAGGTGGATGCCAAACTGTGAACCTTTTTTATGTAGAGCAGGAACTCTCTACATAAATAATTTGGTTGGCATGAAGGACTGAGATGGTAGAAGGTACCATTTCTCCCTTTGGATGGAATGTTTATGACTGCCAATGGGGAGTCCTATTTTGGACTATATCTCCTTCTTGTTGAAAAGACCCAAATGTCTCAATAATACTGACTTACTCGGCCAAAGCCGGTTTGGCTCAGCAGTAGAGCGTCGGTCTGCGGACTGAAAAGTCCCAGGTTCGATTCCGGTCAAGGGCATGTACATTGGTTGTGGGCACATCCCCAGTAGGGGTGTGCAAGAGGCAGCTGGTCAATGTTTCTCTCTCATCGACGTTTCTAGCTCTCTAGCTCTCTCCCTTCCTCTCTGTAAAAAATCAATAAAATATATTTTTTTAAAAATACTGACTTACTCAGTGGAAACCGGGTTAGGTGCCCTCTTTTGATAGAATACTGTTGCTTTTAGTAAAAGCTCTCCCCAGCCTCTTTCTGTTCATAGGGATGTTCATAGCTTTTACTGAAAGGATGAGAGAAAGTTGATTGCAAGACACAATAAGTTATGTTGATAGTTAAAAGTTATGTTAATAGTATGCCCCTCAACAGATATCTAGGAGTTAGCTCAATCCATTTATTCTCAGAGATCTTGTCCATATGGTAAACAGAAATTTGGGTATATCCAAATTTTCTTATGTGCTTGTTTTAAAAAATTTTAAAATAGCCAAAGCCGGTTTGGCTCAGTGATAGAGCAGCGGTCTGCGGACTGAAAGGTCCCGGGTTCGATTCTGGTCAAGGGCATGTACATTGGTTGTGGGCACATCCCCGGTAGGGGATGTGCAGGAGGCAGCTGGTCGATGTTTCTCTCTCATCGACGTTTCTAGCTCCCTATCTCTCTCCCTTCCTCTCTGTAAAACATCAATAAAATATATTTAAAAAAATTTTTTTTAAATAAATTAAAAATCACTTGGAGGTGATCAACTACCATGGTCTTAATGTTTGAAGTTTCTATTTGTTATATTAATGAGTAAAGAAGCAAAGAGTATGAGGAGAGCTCAATTTAAATCATTATAAGAGCTATTTTGAGACACTATAGTTTTAGTTTTCTTTTTATATTTTTAAAATATATACTTTTTAATTCATTTCAGAGAGGAAGGAAGAGGGAGAGAGATAGAAACATCAATGATAAGAGAGAATCACTGATTGGCTGTCTCTAGCATGCCCCCACTGGGGATTGAGCCCAAAATCTGGGCATGTGCCCTACTGGGAATCAAATTTTGACTTTTTTGTTCATTGGTTGGATGCTCAACCACTGAGCCATGCTGGCCAAGTGAATTCTAGTTTCTTTAAGACTATTCTTATCATGCTAATAATAGAGCAACTAATGGAAAATAAGATACTGTATTAGAATATTTATCACTTTGGGTTTCAAATTTTAATCTAGTTTAATGAGGCAGATTTGTTGAGTTTATATATTTTGCAGTAATTTTCAGTTACTCTGAATTTTTTTTAAATTGAATTTATTAGGATGACATTGGTTAATAAAATCATACTATGATTTTCTTGATACCAAAAATTATCTGTTATTTGGTTGGAAGATTTTACTTTTTAAAAATATATATATTTTATTGATTTTCTTTATAGAGAGGAAAGGAGAGGGATAGAGAGCTAGAAACATCGATGAGAGAGAAACATCGATCAGCTACCTCCTGCACACCCCCTACTGGGATGTGCCCGCAACCAAGGTACATGCCCTTGACTGGAATCGAACCTGGGACCTCTCAGTCCGCAAGCCGACGCTCTATCCACTGAGCCAAACCGGTTTTGGCTACTTTTTTGATTTATTAATTCTGCAGACATTTTTGGGAGGTTTTCCCCGGGAAAGGTTTCTTTGATATATATAGCATTTAATGTATTGAAGTGAAAGGTAAACATTTTATGTTATGTCATAGCAATTGTTTTACTAATTTGTATGTGTAAACAGGTGACTTCTGGAAAGGGAGACCCTAATAAGAGTTCAACTAGGGGTATGTATGTCTTTAAGTTCTTTATATTTTAGCAATAGTTATTGCTTTTTCAGAGAATTATATTAATAATTTCTTTACATCTAGGCTCACTGAATCCTGAAAATCCAGTTCAAGTAAGCATGGGTCAGTTAACTGCAGCAATTTATGATCTTGTGAAACTCCATGGAAATTCTGGTAGGAGTTCTTTGGACTGGGCTCAAAGTAACAGGAACACCAAGGAAGCATGGACTGCAACAGAACAGCTCCAGTTTACTATTTTTGCTGCACATGGAATTTCAAGTAACTGGGTATCAAAGTAAGTAACTGTTTAAAAGAATATATATACAGCTTTACCTAGAAATTATTCTAGTCTTGTAAAATGTTAGCATCCACTGTCATCTTGGTATTTACATGGATGAAAAAAGAACCACCAAATACCATAGTGGATTTTATAAAAATTACAGGGATTTTTGAAGCTATTCTAGTAAAAAATATCACTCTCACTATATGCAAAAAAAGGGGGGAGGCAAGAAAATGTTTAAACTTACTAGGGCAAATGTTGATTAATAAATTGGTCTAACTTATGATGAATTCTTTTGCCTTTCCTTTAGAATCACGATAATTTGGAACAGTGTAATGGGACTAGACTTTTTCTTCTTTTTAGTAGTTTATTGATTGCTAGACTTTGAAGTCAGCAAGAGCAGATTTCTTAAAATTTTTTGTTTTTATCTCACTTGAGGACATACTCATTGATTTTTAGAAGGAAGGGAAAAGCGGTGGAGGGGATATTAATGGGTTGCCTCCCGTACATGCCCTGACTGCAGATTGAGCCTGCAACCCAGGTGTGTGCCCTCACCGGGAATGGGTGTATGGGATGATATTCTATTTAATTGAGCCACACTGGCCAGGGTTCTTTTTTAATTTAGGTTTTTCCTCTCTGATTTTTTTGTCAATCCCATAAAGTTTATTGACTTTAATTTATTTGCAAATGACTACTAAATTGAAAAGTCTGAACTGAATATTTAAAATTAAATTGTTTCATAATAGCTTAATTTTATAAAATAAGGTAAAGCCTAGTAAAGAGATAACAAACATATGCCAAAACCGGTTTGGCTCAGTGGATAGAGCGTCGGCCTTCAGACTGAAAAGTCTTGGGTTCAATTCCAGTCAAGGACATATACATTGGTTGCGGGCACATCCCTGATAGGGTGTGTGCAGGAGGCAGTTAGTCAATGTTTCTCTCATCAATGTTTCTAACTCTCTCTCTCCTTTCCTCTCTGTAAAAAATCAATAAAATAAAATATATTTTTTAAAAAAGAGATACCAAACATAAATTCTGCTTAAGTTGAGCTTTATATAAAATTAAAAAATGAAATATAAAAAATAACAAGTTGAATGTGGTATATTAATTCATTAAAAAAATATATACTGAGCGCCATCTGTGGGCAGTGTTATTCGTACTACTAGAAATGCAGCAGTAAAAAGGCAGGCAAACTCTGCCTTCCTGGAACTTGCATTTAAATGGGTACTGCCATGCCTGGGTATTTCAATTGGTTAGAACATCGTCCCGATATGCCAAGGTTTTAGGTTTGATCTCTAGTCAGGGCACATACAAGAATTAACCATAAGTAAGTAAAACAATAAATCCATGTTTTTCTCTTTCAAAATCAATCAATAAAATAAATACTTAAAAAAATAAATGGATACTATTGCTGTCTGAAGATATTTCATTCTTTTAACTAGTAACAGGGATAATACCCTCCATATCTTACATACACACACAAATAAATTTAGGGACACTATTTAGGAGAACAAATACTTAGTAGAAGACAATACAGAAAATGACAATGAAAATTAAGATAGAAATAAATTTAATAAAGTGGTATGAGGTTGAGAAAAACAATCAAATCATTAGCTAGGGATGTTTTGTGAACCAATGAGATTAGATTTAAAAAAATATAGCCCTGGCCAGTGTGGCTCAGTTGATTGAGCATTGTCCCACGCACCAAGAGATCACTGGTTCAGTTCTTGGTCAGGGCACATGCCTGGGTTGTGAGCTCGATCCCCAGTAGGAGACATGCAGGAAGTAGCCAATCAATGTTTCTCTCTCATCAGTGTTTCTCTCTTCCTCTGTCTCTCTTTCTCTCTTTTTCTCTCTCTATAGAAACATATCTTTAGCCGAAACCGGTTTGGCTCAATGGATAGAGCATCGGCTTGGGGACTGAAGGGTCCCGGGTTCGATTCCGGTCAAGGGCATGTATTTTGGTTGCGGGCATATCCCCAGTAGGGGATGTGCAAGAGGCAGCTGATCAATGACTCTCTCTCATTGGTGTTTCTAACTCTCTATCTCTCTCCCTTCCTCTCTGTAAAAAATCAATAAAATATATATATTTTTAAAAAACACATATCTTTAAAATGTTATATTTATAATACGTATATTAACAAAATGGTTAATGTTTAAGCCTACCAGTAAGTTAGAATACTAGTACAGTAGTTTTATTGAACCAAGACTTCTACAAGATTGCCTTATTATATGTAACCAGCTACTAGTGGCAATTAAGAGCTAAATTGTTGCTATGTAATTGGAGAATAAAACAGCATCTGTCTGTCCCCATTGATGGAAGCCTTGTAATAAAGACTGACTCAGTGCAAGTCAGACCAATGCACTGTGATTCATATGCTTAACTGACTATTTCAGTGTCTTAGCCAAGGAAAATGGCACCTAGGGATGATAATGTTTGTGCTCTGTCTTCCTAGAATTTATCTAGAAATGAAGAATTGCTCAGTGTCATTCAACTAATAAAAGCTTATAACTAACTGAGCAGAACATTTAGATAAATTTTCCAGCTGGTATTATTTTGCCCCCTTAGACTGGCAGGTAGGAATACATGTTCCGTTCTTTATATACTTTGCTATGCCTCTCTCTATTTTACAGAATTTGTAGTAGTTAAATTTCAGATTCAGATTTTTTTTAAAGTTCAAATGAATGATGACCAAATTATTTCAAATAATAGTCATTTTTAGGAAGGATGGCTAATTTGATCTGTATTATCAAGTAAACTTTATTAGTAAACTAGTTAATTTGATCTGTATTATCTAGTAAAATGAAATTAAACTTTTTTCCCCCTCAGTTATGAAAAATACTATTTGGTGTGTTCCCTGTCTCACAATGGAAAAGACCTTTTTAAACCTATTCAATCAAAGAAGGTTGGCACTTATAAGAATTTCTTCTATCTTATTAAATGGGATGAACTGTAAGTAAAATTTCTGGCTTTATATTTATTTTTTTTAGTATAGCCTGTCTACTTTTTTTTCCATGTATGCATCCTAGTTTTTATTTCAATTTTCATAAAATTCTTACTGACATCTTAAAGTCTCTTCTAGATATGATTCTATAGAACAGACTGAAATTCTGATTTCAAAAATCTAAAATACTCTTTCAATTCTACATGCTGTTAAATTGTAGAAATACACCATTCTTCCTAGACTCTGTCAAGTTAAAAACATAAATTTATGAGTAATTCTAGAAAGGTGTTAGATATGTTATAACATTGCTTAGTTTAGTACTTATTGTATAACACTGTATATGAAGCCTTGTTTTTGGTTAACAGATAAAATTATCTTGAGTCCATGTACAAGATATTTGCACTATTAATATTTTTTAAATATTGTTTAAGGAAATACTTTTTATTACTTAGGCAGAAAGGCCATTGCAGAGTTTTCCATTTTTTAGTCTGCATTTATTAAATGTTTTCCTATTCTTTTATTTTTTTAATTATAAAAATAACACACATCTGTGAAACTAATCATATAAAACAAAATGCATATGGGTGAAAAGTGTCACTTTCTTTTCAACACTTAACCATGTCATGGCTCCTCAAAGTGACTACAACTGACCTTATGTGTCCTTTTAGACTAAAAAATAAAACACCAAAAATATTGGTAAACGTCTACATAGTCTGTTTATGTATGTATAAGTGCACACATATATCCTGAATCAGAAATACTCAATATTTATCTGCTTTTTCCTAAAGGAAATAAAAATGACTTACTATTTTGCCTATAAATTAGTATTGCAAGTCTTAAATAAAGGTGCTAACAAATTTTTGAAGAAATAAATGCTATATATTTGAAATTTTAGTAAAAGTTGTTCAAGGTTTTTATATAGTATATTTTGGCCAAGCTTGCTACTTAAGTAAAGGAGACTGAGGATTAAAGATTATTTGATACATCAAATAAAATATCTAAAATTATCAGTTTCATTAAAGAATTAATCTTCATGTTCAATCTAATTTATTTTTTTCTATTAATACCTTTTCCTCCCCCATAGAATTATTTTTCCCATCCAGATATCACAATTGCCATTAGAATCACTTCTTCACCTTACTCTTTTTGGAATTTTAAATCAGAGCAGTGGAAGTTCCCCTGATTCTAATAAGCAGAGAAAGGGGCCAGAAGCTTTGGGCAAAGTTTCTTTACCTCTTTTTGATTTTAAACGGTAAGTGTTACTGAGTTGTGATGGTGAGTTACTGCAGACACATCTGCAGTCCCAAAATTGGCTAGAGAACAGGGTGGGGAATAATGAGAAACATGAGATAATGAGCTGCCTCAATTTTTTCAATGTGATAAAAGGAGGTCAGATCAGAGGAAACCAAAGTTATTCTATGGTTTGATCATATCTATATGGGTATTCATATCTATTTGTCATTCATTGTTTAGGATAAAAGCGACAATCAGTTCACTGTCATTTTATGCAAACACTGTATTATTAACATAACTAGTGGCCCAGTGCATGAAATGCATGCACAGGGGAGGGAGTGTTCCTCAGTCAGTCCTGCATCCTCTTCAATCTGGGACCCCTTGGGGGATGTCCGACTGCCAGTTTAGGCCCGATTCCTGTGGAACATTCCTCTCGCAATCTGGGACTGCTGGCTTCTAACTGCTCACCTGCCTGATTGCTCCTAACCACTCTGCCAGCTGGCCTCATCCCCACCTGCTCCTCCTCTCCCCCTTCCCCTGCCAGCCTGATCACCCCCAACTGCCTCTACTGCCAGCCTGCTCGCCCCCAACTGCCCCCCCCACCAACTTGCTTGCCCCCACCTGCCTTCCCCAACAGCCTGCTCACTCCCAACTGCCCCCCCCCCACCAACTTGCTTGCCCCCACTCCCCACATGGCCTGATTGCTCCCAACCGACCCCAACTGACAGCTTGCTCACCCCCAGGTGGCCCCCACCCTGCTGGCCCGCTCACCCATAACTCTCTCCCCTCTTGGTCCTTGACTGCCAGCCACTACCTCGGCCCTGCCACCATGGCTTTGTCCAGAAGAACGTCTAGAAGGTCTCCTGGAAGGTCTCTCAGTCTAATTAGCATATTACCCTTTTATTAGTATAGATAAAGGCCTGGTACATGAGTGGGGGCCAGCTGGTTTGCCCTGAAGGGTATCCCAGATCAGGGTGAGGTTCCCTTGGGGGGCAGGGCAGCCTGAGCAAGGGGCCTATGGTGATTTGAGGCCGGCTATGCCCCCATTAGTGTGGAGTCCCCACTAGGGATGGTGCTGGCCTGTGCCAGGGGCTAGGGCAGTTTGCCACGAGGAGAGGGGGGCGTGGCAGGCTGGGTGAGGGGCTCAGGACTGTTTTCAGGCTGGCCACACCCCCTTTAGGGTGGAGGTCCCTGCTGGGGTGCCTGGCCAGCCTGGGTGAGGGACTGATGGCTGTTTGCAGGCTGGCCATGCCCTCTAGCAGGGACCCTTACCCTGATAGTGGTATGGCCAGCCTGGGTGAGGGGCTGAGGGCTATTTGCAGGCCTGTCCCTTGGCCACTGGCCTGTGTGACCCAAGCCTCCCGGCCTGTGCCTGCTGCTCACAGGCCTTCAGTGGCTGGCCCAGGCGGGCGGGAAGCTTGGCTTTCTCCATCGTTAGGGGCAACCCAAGCCTCCTGCCCACCTCTGTGGGCTCCGTGGCCACCACATCTTTGACCCACTCATTTCAATTACCATATTTCTCTCTTATTAGTATAGATACTATGGTCTTTTCAGTATGCTTGCTATTACTAAAACAATTCCACTTTCCTCTTCTCATCCCAATTCCATACTTCTAAAATTTCAGGGAGTTTACAGCTGAACATTATTCCCTTCTCTTTCCCTGTCTGCCTGACTGATCTATCCTTACTGCTATGTGTCCCTGGCCTTTAATCACCAAAGGTTCTACATGGGTACAAAAACTTAGAGGAAAGGAATTCCTTTTAAGCTTTGTCTACTAACAGTCAGTAGGAATAGTGTAATTGATCTGACAATTTTAATTATGTTTTAAGTAACAGTATGTTTCATGAGATCATAGAGTCTTCCTAAATGGGAAAAAAAATCAATTAAATGAAGTTTGAGATATGTTTCATACAATACATGGTAAAATTTTGGAGAGCGATAATGCATGTTAGTATATTAAAGCAGTTAGCAGATGGCATTAAGTTTGAGACTTTGCCAAGCAGTGTAGTTAGTCTAGGAAGTGTTAGTACTTAACATTAAAAAATACTCAGAAATTAAGAGGGAAGAGGATTTTACGTTAATACATACATCGAAACAAAGTGTCAGTTCTTTAGTTCAGTTAATGTGCTATAGTATGGTAATCAGAAATTCTGGTTTTGAAATTATTTTTAAGTAATTTGTGTGAAGGTGCAACTTGCATACAATCTGATGAAGTCACTATAATGAAAGCCAAGTGACTTAGAGGCATTTCGGTCAGCCTAAGTAACAAATGAGTTCTTAACTAATTTTTAAGTAAACAGAATCAAGCATTTAACTTGCCCTTCCTTTACGTTATATCTCAGGGTTACAAAATAATTTATGTGAATGTGCTTTATAGAAACATCTTAGCTAATTATTGCAGAGGGAATGGTAGAATATCACAATTTTGCAACTTTTACTGAAATAATTTAGGTCAGGGTTAGATTTAGGTCAGTATCGGCACTACTGATATTTTGGGCGAGATAATTGTGGGAGATTGTCCGGTGCATTGTAGGATGTTTGGCAGCATCCTTGGCTTCTGCCCACTAAATGTCAGTAGCACCCCAGTTGACAACCAAAAATGTCTCCAGACATTGCCAAATGTATACTGGGGACAAATATCACTCTTGGTTGAGAACCATAGATTTATTATAAGTAGGGAATATGAATGCCTGCTTAAAACCATTAAGTGATTAGCTTTTCTGGAACTTTATAATGGATGATTTAGACTAAAAGCATCTAAGTAAACTGATTATATTAACCCCAAAGAAAGAAAAATAAACCAAGCATGTTTGCCTGTTTATTTGAGGCAATAGAAAGTAGTATACAATACCACCTATAGAGTATTAACTATTCTTGCCAGATAACTACACCTGAATCAGGTCAAGCCTCTCTAGATCTAACTTTTTTTTTTTTTTTTTTTCTTTTTTTATCACCTGAGGATATTTTTCCATTGGTTTTTAGACAGCGTAGAAAGGAGAGAGGAGGAGAGAGAGTAAAACATCAATGTGAGAGAGATGCTTCAATTGGTTGCCTCCTGTTCACACCCTGACCAGCCTGGGAATGAAACCTTAAGCTCTTTGGTCTGGGAGCCAGTGCTCTAACAACTAAGATAAACTGACCAGGGCTACAGAAAATACGGTAAATGATCAGAGTAATGCAATTAATAAAATTCAGGATAAGGAAAATTCTCAGAACAAAAGACCTGGTTTCTTCAACAAACAGCAGGGGGAAGAAGATAGGAAGAATGTATAGATTAAAACAAGAATTGGCAAACTTTTTCGTAAAGGGGACCAGATAGAAGTAATTTAGGCTTTGAAGGTCATGTGGTCTCTGTCACAAAGGCAAAAGCAGTGATAGACAGTATGTAAGTGAATGTGTGGCTTTGTTATAATAAAAGTTTATTAATGAAACCAGATGATAGGCTGAAGTTTCGTTGACTCTTGAATTAAAAAATATTTAAAAAGACATATCAACCACATGCAAGTGTTGGACCTTGCTTGGATTCTTACTTGAACAAACCAGCTATAAAAAGAACTTTGAGACAGTCTGGGAAATTTGAATACTAGATAGCTGATTATTTTTTATTTTTGTTTTTTAAATTTCTTTATTGATTAAGGTATCACAGATTTGTCCTCATCCCCCCATTCCCATCCTAAACCCCTCCCCACGCATGCCCCTATCCCCTTGTTGTCCGTGACCACTGGTTAGGCTCAAATGGATGCACACAAGTCCTTTGGTTGATCTCTCCCTCTTATCCCCACCCTCTCCTACCTTCCTTCTGAGGTCTGACAGTCTGATCTATGCTTCCTTATCTTGGGTTTGTTCTCGTTCATTAGCCTATGTTGTTTGATAGCTGATTATTTTAAGTAGTTATTGTTAATTATTATAGGAGTGGTAATGGTATTGTACTTATTTTATAAATTTATTGGGGTGACATTGGTTAACACGAACATACAGGTTTCAGGTGTGAGTTTCTATGTTATCAGATCTGTATATTGCACCATGTATCCACCACTCAAAGATTATACTTATTTTATAATAAAATAAAGCTGTTTATCATTTTGAGATCTATAAAAGTATCTACAAATGAAATAATGGGATAGCAATTTACCTTAACCTAGTTGGGGATGAGAGTGGTTCTAAAAGAGACAGAATATAATGTGTCAAAGATTTAAAGGTTAACCTGTAAGAGAAAACATTAGAACTAGAATCTAGCTTTGGAAAGGATATTTGCTATTTTAATAAAATGAACAAAGTTTAATGCAGTTTGAAGTTTTCTGTTTTTATATTTACTCATGTTAGCTTTCAGATATTTCTTCTGTGTAAAGATACGTCAGTATCTTCATTGCCATAAACTGGTTATCTCAGGCAAATGTCAGCATACTACAGCTTCCTGCTTTTTTTAAATGCAGTATTGTTAGAATACAGTGCACATATTTATTTAAATGTCGTTCATAGCTACCTTGCACTATAATAGCAAAGTTGAATCTCTGCAACAAAGATTGCCCATAAAAAAACACAGAGTGAAATAAGCCAATCAATGAAAGAGAAACACCACATGACCCCACTCATTTGTGGATAATAAAGATCATTATAAACTGATGAACCAAAAGATAGATATAGAGACAGTAAAGCAACAAGCAGATTGTCAAATTACAACGGGGAGGGGAGGAGGGTCTGGGGGAGACAATAAATCAACCCAAGGACTTGTATACATGCATATAAGTACAACCAATGGACATAAAACTCTGGGGAGGGAGGGGATACGTGGGAGGGAAGGAGGGGGGCAAAAAAAAATCAATAAAATATGTAAAATAAATAAATAAATTAAAAAAAATAAAAAAATAAAAAATAAAAATAAATAAATAAATAAAATAAAATAAAAAAACACAGAGTATTTACTGTCTGGCTCTTTAGAGGTAAAGTTTGCTGACCTCTGGTCCAGGGCACTGATAAAAATTCTCAAATGATTGGTGCTGTCACAAAATAGGTACTGATTTTTTTGGCATATGTTTTTGTTCTTATGACAAAAGTCAGGGCACAGTTCAGTAACACAAATTTCCTTTGTAAATGATCTTCAAAGAGTAGCCTTCAACCCTCCTATTTATAGAATTGTTTTGGAGACAGTACGTTCTGTTTTATCCTCAATTCCCCCTTAGATATGTTCATTCTCTCTTCCTTTGTTCTAATTCCCACACTTTAACTCATTTACCTAAAGATTAGTACACTATGGAAAGTGATTCCTCCTGATAAGTTTTTAAAGACATTTTTTTATATAGAACATGATTAAAAAATGTTTGAATACTAACATTTCAAATTCATTACTATGTGTTGTGAGTTTTGAATTTTTAAAATAAAAACCACAGTATTCTTCTATTTACATTGTGTAGGTTTTTAACGTGTGGAACTAAGCTTCTATATCTTTGGACTTCGTCACATATAAATCCTATGCCTGGAACAATACCCAAAAAAGGATATGTGATGGAAAGAATAGTGTTACAGGTAATGGTATTATTGTTATTTTTTTTAATCTGAAGATATGTTTGTTGACTTTAGAGGATAATGCTACTTTTTGATATATGGAGAGGTTTAAATTTCTTTATAAAAAGTGTATGTATACCATGGTTTTGGTTATTAAAGAACCCTAATCAATCTTGTTTCAACTTTAGAGTCTATTTTAAGTGTCAATAAATCATTTCCTATTTCTGAGAAACAGTAAAATATGCCCTTGTACCCATCCCAAGCAATATACGGGCTATTGAGAATTACCAACAATGGTAATCACTTTCAGCTAAAGGACATTGATTTATAATATACAATCTAAAATTCACCCTGATGGCTAAGAAAAAATAATTTTTTCAAAAACAATTAATGTGGTAAATATATGTATGTCCTATTCAGCTGTAATTTGATCAACTTCTATTTAATTTTTAAGGTTGATTTTCCTTCTCCAGCATATGATATCCTTTATACCAGTCCTCAAGTTGACCAAAGTATTATACAACAACACAACTTAGAAACATTAAGAAATGATATAAAAGGGAAACTTCTTGATATTCTTCACAAAGACTCATCATTTGGGTATGCTCCTTTGATTCTCTTTTGCCTTTGATTCTCTTATCTCTTACAATGTAAAGCTCAAGTTAATGGTTTATAAAGTGTCCCGATTTAGTTCATGAGTTAGCAATATTTTTGGTGTGGAAAGATTTCTATATCTGTAACAACCTGGACATGTGCCCTTGAGCAGGAATCGAACTGGCAATCTTTTGGTGTGCAGAACTATGCCCAACCTATTGAGCCACACTGGCCAGGGGTAGGTTAATTTTCTTAAATGTATAAAGAATCTTTTCATACCAGTAGAAAAACAAACAACTCAGTAGTAAATTAGACAAAGAATGTTAATAGGTAATTCTTTAGAAAAGAAATACAGCCAAACTGGTTTGGCTCAGTGGATAGAGCATCGGCCTGCAGACTGATTGATGGGTTCCGGGTTCCATTCCAGTCAAGGGATGTACCTTGGTTGCAGGCACATTCCCGGTAGGGGGTGTGCAAGAGGCAGCTGATCGTGGTTCTCTCTTATTGATGTTTATAACTCTCTATCCCTCTCTCTCCCTCTCTGTAAAAAAAAATCAATCAAATATATATTAAGAAAAGAAAAGAAATACAATAGGTTTTTAAACATTTTAAAAATGTCAATTTCTCAGTATGTGGAGAGGTTTAAATTTAGTCAAGGAAATGTAAATTAATACAAGATAACATTTCATACACATCAGATTGTTGAAATTAAAATGTCTCATCATAGAAAGTGTTGATGAATATACAAACAAGGGATAATATTGTTAGTGGAATTCTCAAGAGCTTTTGGGGCAATTTGGCAAAATCTATTAAGGTCACAATGTGTATAGTCTGTGACCTACCAATTCCATTTCCAGTTAGTTATATATATTAGAGGAAAGAAACATTTTTATATTTACTTATTGAGATAAGGATGCTCATTGCATTTTAATTATTATAAAACTGATAGGGAATGTCCCATCAATGGGGGTCAAATTATGGTACATTTATCCAACAGAGTATTACGTAACTATTAAAAATGAAGTTATAGCGGGGGGCAATGGTAAGATATGTACACAGATAATAATTTAATTTAAAAAAAAGTGAAGTTATAGCTATGTACTAATATGTCAGATGTGTAAAATGAAGAAAGCAAGGATATAATATGTTACCATTAAAGAAAAAAGATCTACATACACCCATGTAGATGCTTCTATATAAAAGGACTCTGGAAGAATATTCAAGTATAGGCAGTTGCTACTGGGAGGGGAATTAGAAGAAGGGAGACCCACTGTGTACTTTTTTTCAATGTTTGAAATTTTTCACTATTCCACATTTCAGTGCATGTATTATATATACAAATGGTTGGGTAATAAAATAGTGAAATTATTCATTCACATAAACGTTTGTTATTAGTGTTAAATTGGAATCTCCAAAACAAGTCTTTTTAAATATTCCTCAATTGAGCTATATAATCAACTTCTAAAATTTTATAATAGCATTTGTGTGTTACATGACATTTCATTTAACTTGTATAAAATGGATAAAATCCTTGCTCATAGGGTGGATTTTGCTTATCCAACTCTGATTTCTAGTGCATGGCATCTGATTAGAGCTTAATAAATACTTATTGTACTGAATTATCCTTCATTTTCATAAGTAAGACTCTCTTATTAAGTCAAAATGATTTCTTTCTATTCCCCAAATTAGGGTAAATTAGTGGTGTTTGTTGTACATTGTGTTTTTCTATCCCAAATTAGTATTAATGATGCCACCAAGAAGTGGCCACCCTAAAATAAATGAATTTCTCCTTTGCATTTTATTTTATTTTATTTTAATATTTTATTGATTTTGTACAGAGAGGAAATGAGAGAGATAGAGAGTTAGAAACATCGATGAGAGAGAGTCATCGATCAGCTGCCTCTTGCACACCCCCTACTGGGGATATGCCCGCAACCAAGGTACATGCCCTTGACCGGAATCGAACCCGGGTCCCTTCAGTCCCCAAGCCGACGCTCTATCCATTGAGCCAAAATGGTCTCGGTGCTCTCATTTGCATTTTAAATTGCTGAAACTATAACTATTATTATGATATCAGTGAGGAGTAATTTAGTTCTGTTATCTATGCAGACTTTCTAAAGAAGACAAAGCTTTTTTGTGGGAGAAACGTTATTATTGCCTCAAACATCCAAATTGTCTTCCTAAAATACTAGCAAGTGCCCCAAACTGGAAGTGGGTTAATCTTGCCAAAATTTACTCATTGCTTCACCAGTGGCCTCCATTAGACGCACTGACTGCATTGGAACTTCTTGATTTGAAGTAAGTCAACTATGAATTAATTTATTTGCTTTATTTTATTGTTAATTTTTTCAGTAAAGTATTATGTTGCAGGAATACTTCCCTTTGTTTTAGCATGAAAGCAATTCAATACAATATGAGTGTGTAAATCTCTATTTCTACTAACGTACCTTTTCATTGAAGTTATTAAAAAGGCATGTCATATTTAAAACTAACCTAAAGAGAGGATAAAGTAAATTTATAATAATTCGTTAAATTTTATGATGTGGGCCAAAATTAATTTTCATAAGCTTAAAGTTTCTAAACCAGTCCCCTAATAAAATTTCTATAGCATGGTTTTTTTAGGAAGATTTTCTTCCTAAAAAAAAGAAGAAACACATTGCTTTTAAATAAAGAGCTGTTTTTGAGCATTCATTGTCAGGAATAGATTGAGATTATGTTTTCGGGAAATATAGCTTCATTAGAAAGAAGTTACCGTCAAATCTTGATTTTTGTTTTACTTTTCTAGATTTGCTGATCAGGAAGTGAGGTCCCAAGCTGTGACCTGGATAGAGGCTATTAGTGATGATGAGCTGACAGATCTTCTTCCACAGTTTGTACAGGTGTGTTTTTCATTCCGTTTCCTACTCTCCCTACTCTTTTCTCTCCCCCCCCCCCACTCCCCCCCTAGTTTTTATGAATAGGGAACTTGCTAAGGGATTCCCTTTTCTGATAAAAAGTACTTCTCGAGACCGGTTTAGCTCAGTGGATAGAGCATCAGCCTGTAAACTGAAAGGTTCCAGGTTCGATTCCAGTTGAGGGCATATACCTTGGTTGCGGGCACATCCCCAGTTGGGGGTGTGCAAGAGGCAGCTGATCAATGATTCTCTCGTCAGTGTTTCTAATTCTCTATCCCTCTCTCTTCTTCTCTGTAAACAAAAAATAAAATCAATAAAATATATATATTTTTAAAAGTACTTCTGTAGTAGGAATGTTGAGGTACATTACATTTGGATTTAGTATGAATTTTGTTTCTACTATTATCAGCTGCTCCACTTGAATATATTACACACACACACACACACACACACACACACACACAGAGTGGCCAGATTATTATAATCTCTGAATGCATAATAATTTAACCATTCAGTGTACTTCTCTTGAGTACCCCATTTATTTGGTATCGAAGTCACTATCAATCATACACCTGATCCAGTTTTCCCCTTTGCACTGGCTGAGGGCAAATAGGTGGTTGATCTCCCACAAAAGTCTAGAATACTTTTTTGTAGTGAATCCCTTTCACGTCCCGCATGGTTCAGGGTTTGGGCTCTGGAGGAGGCGCATGCAAATGAAAGAGACTAGAAAATATTAATTTGGAAATTTTGGGGGCTAGGTGGGAACCCAACTCAAAAATCTGGATTTTAAAAAAATAAGTTTTTGATTTTTAGAGAGGAAAGAAAGAAACATCCATTGGCTGCCTCCTGCACGCCCCCTACTGGGAATCAAGCCTGCAACCTGGTCATGTTCCCTGACCAGGAATTGAACCAGTGCATGGGACGGCACTCAGTCCACTGAACCACACCGGCCTGCCTGTACCTGGATTTTTAATTGTTTGACTTTTTAGATTCTCAGAATAAATTAGACTTAAACTTTTCTTTTTCTTTCCTGGCCATTTAAATACAGCTAATGGAAGTAATGCCCAGGTATATACTTTTCTGATTGACTTTATTAATTTAGCCTAAGTTAATTTATATTTCATTTTTGTCAGTATCATTTTTCATCAATAAGAATAAACTTTATGTAATTTCTTTTTTGATAATTTATTTCTAACAGTGTACTATGTGTTTGACCACTAGTAATTCTTATTTTTCTTTTATGTATAGGCTTTGAAATATGAAATTTATTTGAACAGTTCATTAGTACGCTTCCTTCTGTCGAGGGCATTGGGAAATATACAAATAGCACACAGTTTATATTGGTAAGATTTACGTTTTCTTTAGTACTTTATTTCCATTCCTAGTATTTATACTCTGATAGTCTAAATGGTATGACCAGACAGCTTACTATGGATACCAGATGTTTTATAAATGCATTATTATAAAGAAGCTAAATATTTATGTTCTTAGAAATAAAACAACAAAAACCAAACTAAGATATTTGGCATGTTAGAGCTCTATGATAATGAATGAACTTTTACTTGATTATATGACTTAAAATAAATTTCTGGATGACTAAAATTGAACCTGTTGAATTGATTTTTGAGAAATGTTCATCCAGTTTTTAGAAGTGGCTGACAAATATTTGCTCTGTTAGGCTCCTCAAGGATGCCCTGCATGATGCACAGTTTGGTGCCCGGTATGAACATGTTTTGGGTGCTCTCCTCTCAGTAGGAGGAAAAGGACTCAGAGAAGAACTCTTGAAGCAGACAAAACTTGTACAGCTTTTAGGAGGAGTAGCAGAAAAAGTAAAGCAGGCTAGTGGATCAACAAGACAGGTATGTACCCATAAGAGGGAACATAAATATTCTGATATTAAAGGATCTTTACAGTGCTAATAAGTGAAGTTGTTATTCTTTGTCAATAAATAGCCAATATGCTCTTTGGGGCAGATGAGTTTCAAGGTACTTTAAAATCTTTAGGAAAAGATTTTGCAACCTAAATAAGAAAATCAGTGCTTTTTAATTCCCATGCTTATTAATTCCTTCTGGTTAAAATTGCTCTCTCAAGTTTTTCCAATTATTTTGCTTTTTAATTTTTGTAACTGTAAAAATAATAAAACTATGCCTGGGTGCCATTGTTTAAAAAATCCAAATAATGAAGAAGTTTTATAGAATAAAAAAATTAAGACTTTTTCAGATTTATTTTCTCCTTGTAATTATCTATTTTTCAGTTTGCTGTGTTTCCTTCTTGATCATTTTTTTTTATTTACACATATATACACTTAAGTATATATAAAATTTGGGGGGATTAAAAATACTTTTACAAAAAATATTGTTGTTGAGGTGAATTTTGCACAACATAAAATTCACCATTTAACCATTTTAAAGTGTATGATTCATTGACATTTAGTACATTCTCAATGTTGTACGATTATCACCACAATCTGATTCCAGGACATTTTCATGTACCCACTGACCACTCACTCCTCATATGGCATGAGATAAGGGTCCAACTTCATTCTTTTACATGTGGTTGTCCAGTTGTCCTATCACCATTTGTTAAAAAGACTATTTTTCCATTGAATGAGCTCAGCATACTTTTAAAAATCAGTTGAACATAGATAAATAGATTTAATTCTGAACTCTCAATTTTGGTCCATTGATCTATATGGCTATTTTATGCCATATTTTCTTTACTGTAGCTTTGTCGTATATTTTGAAATCAGGAAATATGAGTTTTCCAACTTTGTTATTTTTCAAGATTGTTTTAGCTCTTTGGAAGTCTGTAGCAATTCTATATGTATTTTAGGGTCAGTTTGTTTATTTCCGCAAAAAAGCAGTTAGAATTTTGATAAGGATTGTGTTGAATCTGTAAATTGATTTGGGAAATACTGCAGTCTTAGTTTCAATTCATGAATATGGGATGTCTTATTACTTAGACTTTTAATTTCTTTCAGCAATTATACTTTTTTTTGTGAATTGCTCTTTTTACTTTATCTTGGGGAATTCATGTCAGTACATAAATATTTACAATTCATGTTTCTTAATAGGTACACAATATTACAAGGTACCTGTAGCATAAATTATGAACCATTAATTTCTCTTTGTAGGTTGTTTATATATTTTATTTTTTAAAACAGTCCTGCAATGCACTTTAGTGTGTAAGTTTTTGCCCTTTGCTAGTATTTTTATTTCCCTTTTGTTTAATTTCTGTTCATTTGGCTGTTAGTCAGTTTTAACTGATATGTTAAATATGAATATACACACTTTCCCTCCTATGTTTATAACTTTTGCCCATTCTAATTTCATTTTTATAGTAAAAATTAAGCCTCTTAGCAACGTTTTACAAATGGGCATTTTAAAAATTAGGTCTGCTTCTTAATTTTGTGTCTTAAAAATATGCCTTCATTTTCGTTATGTACTTAGAATATCAATCTCTTTTTCCTAGGTTGTCCTCCAAAGGAATATGGAACGAGTACAGTCCTTTTTTCTAAGAAATAAATGTCGTCTCCCTCTCAACCCAAGTCTTGTGGCAAAAGAATTAAATATCAAGGTAACAAATAAAATACTTATGTAAGTTCATATTACATTTCAAAATATGTAAGAAGAGAAATGGGCAGGTATGCTTAAAGCAAATGAGTGTAAAACCTGCATAGATTGATGTTTTTATTGATTTTTAGAGAGAGGGAAAAGGAAAGGGAGGGGAAAAAGAGAAACATTGATGGGTTGCCTCCTGCATGCCCCCTACTAGGGATCAAGTCTGCAATCCGAGCATGTGCCCTGACCAGGAATAGAAACAAGAGACCTCTCAGTAGACAGGATAATGCTCAACAGGCAAGGGCTTTAAGCACTTTTTAGAGCCATGAGAAAATAATTCAGTAAGCCCGGTCAGTGTGGTTCAGTTGGTGGTTGAGTGTCTTCCTGTGCACCAAAGATAGCCAGATTAATTCCTGGTCAGGGCACATGCCCAGGTTGCAGGTTAGATTCCCAGTAGAGAGCCTTCAGAAGGCAGCCCATTGATGTTTTTCTCTCTCCCTCTCCCTAAAATCAAGAAAAACATATATATATATATATATATATATATATATATATATATATATATATATATATATATATTTATTTATTTTTTTTTAATTAAGTAAAGTTCAGTGGTGGTCAACTTGAGTAATTGTATTTTGAACTGGGCTAATAGTAATACAAATAGTGGCTTTTCTCTACCATGAGTTCAGCAAAAGCAACCAATTCATTTATTCATTAGAGTTTGTGGTTTTGAAAGGCCACGGTACAGCTATCCTTAATGAAGTTTCAGAGTTGAATTTTTTTTTTTTGTTTTAGTTGACATGGCTACTCTTCATTGAAATTTAACAGTGAATGCCTGACTTGTATAATTATGTCTTTTGGAGACAGAATGATATTTTCCCCTTTGGTTTTGTTGTATTGTTTATCTTTAAGATGGGCTCACTGTCTTTTTTTTTTTTTTTTTTTTTTTTTTTTTATAAGATATATTTTTACTAGAGGCCCAGTGCACAGGTGCACAGATTCATGGACTGGTGGGGTTCCTCGGCCTGGCCTGCGGGGATTGGGCCCAACCAGCTTTCCGGCATTTTCCAAGGAGTCCCAGATTGCGAGAGGGCACAAGCCTGGCCTAGTGACCCCACCAGTGCATGATCAGGGCCAGGGAGGGACTGCAGAAGATTGGCCAGCCAGGGAGGGACCATGGAAGGGCTCTAGGGCATGTCCGGCCCATCTCGCCCAGTCCCAATTGGCCAGACCCCAGCAGCAAGCTAACCTACCAGTCAGAGCATCTGCCCCCTTGTGGTCAGTGTGTGTCATAGCAACTGATCAACCAGTCGAATGAATGGATACTTAGCATATTAAGCTTTTATTATATAGGATTGATTTCAGAGAGGAAGGGAGAGAGAGATAGAAACATCAATGATGAGAGATAATCTTCAAATTTTTAATAGTAATAAGTTTTTAAGTTATTATTATTTTTAATCCTCACGTGTGGATATGTTGAAAAAGAGAGAAAGAGAGAGATATGTTGTGATCAATGTGAGAGAGAAACACAGATTGTTGCCTCCTGCGTACACCCCAGCTGGGAATAAGAACCCACAACCTAGGTATGTGTCCTGACTGGGTATTGATTTTATAACCTTTTGGAATATGGGATGATATTTCAACCGAACCCATGCCAAGTGCTATCTCAGGTTTTCATTTTGCTTCTCTGCTCAAAAAGTAGTAAATGATCTTTTACTCATATATGCTATGTTTAAGTTTCAGAAAGTATTTTTATATGCCTCTTATCTGCCAGATTATCTAAAAAGCAAGTCTCCTGTATTACTTCATTTGCCATAATTCAGAGAAACAAATAAAAGGAGAAATGCCTAGGCAAAAATAAATCTTACACTATTTTTATTCCATTGTTATATTTCTAATACTCAATGTGTTCTATTTGTAGTCGTGTTCTTTCTTCAGTTCTAATGCTGTGCCCTTAAAGGTCACAATGGTGAATAATGATCCAATGGGGGAAGAAATTAATGTCATGTTTAAGGTGAGCAAAATAAGGTTACTTTATTTTTTTTCAAATTCCTTTTCCATAATTACAAAAGTAATTTTGTTTAATATTTAATTAACTTGAATAAGTATGTGTAAGATTGTCACTGACATAAACTGTTCCCAAACAGATTTGGGAATAAATGCATCTGTGGGCTAGAGCTGCTGCTATGCTGGCTGAGCACATCATAATCCCAGGCAATGTCTTTCACACAGACTATGTGAATGGTACCCCTAAAGTTGTGTAGTGGGAAACTACAACATCATGAGCAGCCGGGCTTGTGCCCCTCACCACAATTGAACCTGGGACCCTTTAGTCCACAGGCCAACACTATTCACCTAGTCAAACTGGCTAGGGCCATATTACTCTTTTTAAAAATTGAATATAATTCACAAACCATAAAACCCAACCTTTGAAGTGTACAGTTAGGAAACTTAGACATGAAGAATTTAAGTAACTGTCTCTGAATGCTGCAGAAAAATTAAAAGGCAGTTATGCTAATCTCATTCTTTTAAAAAAAATTATTGTTGAAAGTATTACATATGTCCCCTTTTCCCCCCTATTAATGCCTTCCAGCCCCACCCTAGAATCTTCCCCCCACCTCAGGCCTTCACCACCCTATCATCTGTGTGCATGGGTTATGCATATATGCATACAAGGTCTTTGGTTGATGTTAATCTCATTCTAAACCCTTTTCACTATTCTCTCCTTTATAGTATGTGAATCTTTCAGAAAGGTACAAGTTTAATTTTGTTTTCTTGATTTTAAGGTTGGTGAAGATCTTCGGCAGGATATGTTAGCTTTACAGATGATAAAAATTATGGACAAAATCTGGCTTAAAGAAGGACTAGATCTGAGGATGGTGATTTTCAAATGTCTCTCAACAGGCAGAGATCGAGGTAAACTTGTTAGCTGTGTCCTGGTGTTGTGTTTTTTTTTTTTTCCATGAACTTAACTCAGTGTCCCTTCCCTAAGGATTCTGATGCTGATGCACTATGATCTCAGTTATTTCTTATGTTAATTTAGTATTGTTTTATTGATTCATTTTCTCGTGATTAAATAATTCAGTGAGTAGCCCTAATAAATGCTTTGCAGTAACCAAAGGTGTTTATTCGTTGACCCAGTAAGAACTTTCTGGTCTTTAGTTTTTGACTTATAATTAAGGCCATGTCTAAGATAAGCCAACTTTGATTTAATTACTATAAAATGAAATAGTGGTTACAAAGTATTTTTCTACTAAGAAGAAACTTCATCTTATTATTTCTTTTTTTTTTTTAATATATTTTATTGATTTTGTACACAGAGGAAGGGAGAGAGATAGAGAGTTAGAAACATTGATGAGAGAGAGTTATCTATCAGCTGCCTCTTGCACACCCCCTACTGGGGATATGCCCGCAACCAATGTACATGCCCTTGACCGGAATCGAACCCGGGACCCTTCAGTCCCCAAGCCGACGCTCTATCCACTGAGCCAAACCGGTTTTGGCCATCTTATTATTTCTTGAATAGGTTTTTCTTTCCACATATAATGTGGATAATAATGGTATTACACTCATAGAAACATTTTGATAACTAAATGAGATAATGAATGTAAAATACCCTAGTATCTGATGCATATTAGATCAATAAATCATAGCTATTATCATTATTCTTTTACAACAAATGTTTGTTGTAGATCTACCATCTGTAGAATGCTATTGGCAGGTAGTGCTTATATTTTAGAGGGAAGCAATTGAAGACAAATGCAAGTAATTAGAAAATGCTTTAATAAGCTAAAAGCTCTAAAAATAATTACAGAGGCAATGCTGTGGGTTTTAAAGGAGAGAAAGATCACCTATGGTTAATGGAAATGAGAAAGGCTTTACAGATTCTAATCATAGCCACTAGGAAGTCACTTGAAAGATTATCTTATTTAATCATCTTTCTAATATTGGCCATACAATTTATGCCTATAATGAAGGGAATTCACGTATTTTAAGTTAGTCCATTATGTCCTGGGTAGCTCTCATAACTGTAAAATTCTTCCTTGTATTCAGATAAATGGGAACTGAGTCCTGATTTCCTCTAACCCAGTTCCAGTTCTATTCATAGGCTTTCATGTAATGTCAAATCCTTCTTGGTGATGACCTGTTGTGATCCCGAGTTTCGAGTTCTTCAGCGATTTGTTATATGTGACTTTAAAGTATTTTATCATCTTGTTTTCTTTGTAAAGGGCTCAAGTGATTGATTTATAGACTCTAAGAATGACACCTAGATTTTGTAAAATGCTGAATGGGGGGCAAATTGTCACTTAAATGGAGCTTATCCTATATAATAAAAGGCCAGAGGCGTCATGACGGAAACGACCAGAGACCAGACCACCACGGTTCTTCACAGCCTGGGCCCACCTCCCTCAAGGAAGTGGTTATGGGCAATCAGGCAGGCAGAGGGTTTAGGGGAGATCAGGTAGGCAGACAAGCAGTTAGGGATGTTCAGGTAGGCAAGCTAGTGGTTAGGGCCGATCAGGTAGCCAGACAGTCCCTCGCAGGGCTGGCCCCCCCAGCAAAGGAAGAGGGAGGCCCAGGTCAGCCAAGTCATCACACCCCAGCCTGTCCTCTGTAGAGGGAGACCACCAATGGCAACGGCAGGGTTGAGGGCAGCTGCTTGCAGCTGAGGGAAGGAAAGCCCCGATAGGCCCTGATCTCAGGCTACGACTAGGGGTCCCAGATTGTGAGAGGGTGCAGGCTGGGCTGAGAGCCCCCTCCCCAACCCACCCCGTGAACAAATTTTCATGCCCTAGGCCTCTAGTTAACGAATAAAACCATCTCCTCCTAAACGATGTCTTAGCTATTCTGCTCTTTTACATTTTTATTCTTAGACCCAAGTATAGGACATTCACTATTAACTTTCTTATTATATTTGATCTATTACTTTTCAACCTATTGTTTCTTTTTAAAATCTGAGTTTTGTTATGTCATTGAACCTCTTAGCTTGTGTTATGAATAGATTTGAAGAACAGATATTTTGTTGCTTTTGCTAAGTCATTTGAAAACATGTTTACTAAGAAAGGGCCAAGCACCAGCCCTTGTGACAGAGTCACTAGAGATCTCCCTTCAAGTGATTGCTCAGTCTGTGGGTATTATATTTTATTTGGTTACTTACTGATTTTGTTGTGGTGTCAACCACTCCACATTTCACCATTTTATCCATGAGGGCCACATGAGAGCCTTGTAACTTTCCCCCCTCAGGTTAGGATGTACAAATTTTATCTTGTCAAAAAGGAAATCCAAACAATTTAAGAATTCTTGCTGTTTGTTTTTCATATGCCTTGTAAGATGGAAATTTTATCAAGTAAGATTCTTCAACAATAGCCTACCATTTTAGTAGATTAGTTTTCCTGTGACACACTTATTGCATATATGTGAACCTCTTTCTTTTTATGGAATTCCATGTAATTTGGAGACAATCTAATTGTTCTTATTTTTTTACTAGAGGTCCGGTGCATGAAATTCATGCACTGAGGGGTGGGAGGTGCGGGGTAGGTGTCCCTCAGCCCAGCCTACGCCCTCTCGCAGTTCAGGACCCTTACCACCCACCTGTTCACTACTCCTTACCACTAGGCTCGTTGCTCCTTATCACTGCCCTGGAGCAGCTGCCCTGGAGGCAGAAGAGGCTCCTGCCCCGACACTACACTCGCCAGCCTTGAGTTCAGCTTCTGACTGAGCAGCGCTCCCCTTGTGGGAGTACATGACCACCAGGGAGCAGCTCCTGCATTGAGCGTCAATTCCCTGGTGGTCAGTGCACATTATAGCAACCAACTGCTCTAGTCCTTGCACCATAATGGTCACTTAGGCTTTTATTATATAGAAATTGTTTCTAAGTAATGATTGAGTGCTTACTTTGTGTTCTGCTCTGTGCTAAGCTTTTTAAATATATGTGGTGTGTGTGTGTGTGTGTGTGTGTGTGTGTGTGTGTGTGTGCGCGCATTTTAAACAGGAATGAAGGGAAGAGGGGAGGAGGAGAGAGAAAAGCATCAATGTGAAAGAGTATCACCAATCATCTGCCTCCTTCATGCCTAGGGATTGAGCCTGCAACCTTGGCATGTGCCCTCACTGGGAATCAAACTGGCAATCTTTCGCTGCATGGGACGATGCCCAGCCAACTGAGCCACACCAGCCAGAGCTGAAAGCTATAAATATTTTAAAGGCTTACTTTTGGAAGATATTTTCACATAGCTTAATGTTTTGTTGTTTAAGGCATGGTGGAGCTGGTTCCTGCTTCAGATACCCTCAGGAAAATCCAAGTGGAATATGGTGTGACTGGATCCTTTAAAGATAAACCGCTTGCTGAGTGGCTGAGGAAATACAATCCCTCTGAAGAGGAATATGAAAAGGTGATTAGCTTGTCTCCTTATTCTAAATAGCTTTGTTAAAAATATATTACATGGATCTTCAGTGCTTTTCTTTTCAGCTCTAGTGTCAGCCATTTAGTCTAAGTTATGAAACAGTATATTTCTCTAAGTACAGAGAAAAATATAAAAACAGAATGCATTTAATGACAGGAATTTGAGTGAATTATCCAAAAAACTTCCCAAACATGTATTTAGAGGGCAGTAAGACAGCTATTTTCATAAGCCAAAATGCTATATTTCACACAGGTTTTGGGAAAAGTTATGGAAATGAGTAGAGTAGCTGCATTATGTGGTCATTAAGAACAAGATTATGGGTCAGACTTTCTGGCTTGAATTCAGGTCCCAGGTCACTCACCAACTATGTAGCCTTGGGCAAATTATTTAACCTATTTGTGCCTCAGTGATATCTCCTATACAGTATTATAATATTATATTTTTGTGGTATTATAGTGGCTGTAATAAAACACCATAGGTTATTATGATAACTAGTAAATGAATTAAGATATATAAAGTGTTAATAAACTACATTCTATAACTATAGCTGTTATTGGAGGCATGATTTTTTTTGTTTTAGTATGCATTTGTTTTACATAAGAGGAAAGGAAAATCTCTTAGGACATAAGGCCTATAATGATCCTAAATTGGTTAAAAGAAGACTCAAGAATACTTTCAATGGTGATGTAAGAAGATCCCAGTTAATGTCATTTGCCTGCTTAGTTTATGTCAAATAATTGCTATATCACGTTTGCAGATAAATATGTAAAAACGTTATCTGTTGACTAAGAAAGTAAAGTAGAAGAATTTAGTCGGTCTTTTAAAATGTCTAAAAACACTTCCTTTTCTCTATGGGTTGGGGAAAGCAGTGCATCAGATCCCAATACTTGTTTATAGTAATGCTGGTTTTTTGTGTGATTCTGGGTAAGTTGTTTGACACAAAATAATGGTCAAGTAACATATATTGAGTGTCTTTTATGCATTTGGCTCCTTTATTTGGGGAATATAATATAGTGGAGTCACATTGCCTGGGTTTGAATCTTGGCTCTGCCGCTTAATAATTATATGATCTTGGGTAAATAACTTCTCTGTTTCTGTTTCATATGTAAAATGTAATAATAGTCTCTTCATCATTGGTTTTTAATGAGTTGATGTACACATCCATTCATCCATACATACACATATGCACACGTATACTGTGAGTGTGGCGCGGGAGGAGAAAGGAAGAGTAGTGCAGTGCCTGGTTTGTGATAAGTGCTATGTAAACATTTGCTATTATCATCACCATCAGTAATGATTTCTGGGGGGTTATGGAATAAAATTAACCACATGGCACTGGCCTGTATTGCTCACTGGTTAGAGTGTCGGTCTGTACACTGGATCGATTCCTGGTCAAGGGCATGTACCTAGGTTGCAGGTTTGGTCCCTAGCCCTGGTTGGGGCATGTGCGAGAGCCAATCAATCAGTCTCTCTCTCTCTCTCTCTCTCTCTCTCTCTCTCTAAAGATTAACAACAACAAAATTAGCCTTGTGGATATGTAGAAATAACTGCTTCATTCAGAAATGTTGTGTTTTGAGAATAAACTAAATGCACATGCTTTAGATTAAAATATTTGTTGTGTGCATTTTGCTGTATCCTGTAGGATATTATGTTAGTAATTTAATCCCAGAACAGGCAGGACTAGTGTCCAACTTTGAGAAATGTAACAGATGACACATAGTCACCAACTGGGTAACCAAATACATTAATTATATTATTGGATGTTTAAAGATATAAACTGACTCTCTTTACACATGCCCTCCCTGGAAGCTTCCTCCCCCTCAAAACACACACACACACACACACACACACGAAAAATATTCTTTTGTTCAGATTAATCTTTGTGTAAGCAGCAGAGCCTGTGAGGAGCAGGGTTCCACAAACACGATGCTTAAAAGATGTTCAAGGGCAGTGCATATCCTACTTAGGTCCTGGTGACATCTCTGCTTGTGACAGGGCAAAGCTTGAGAGAAGGGGCAATAACCAACTTTAGAAGGGTGTTTCAGTTTTTGAATTTTTAAAAAACTGGCCTTTTTTTTTGAACCATAATTCAACTTATTGGCTGTTTAGAATGTGGATTACAACAGTGATTTCAGAGAGGGATGAATTACATTAATCTTTGTAACCTTGCCTCTTTTAAAAATAATTTTTTTCCTAAAATAATTTTCTATCTTTATTATAGGCTTCTGAGAATTTTATCTATTCTTGTGCTGGATGCTGTGTAGCCACCTATGTTTTAGGCATCTGTGACCGACACAATGACAATATAATGCTTCGAAGCACAGGACACATGTTTCACATTGACTTTGGGAAATTTCTGGGCCATGCACAGATGTTTGGTAGCTTCAAAAGGTACTAATACTGTTACTGTTATTACTGAGGAAAAGAGAGCCACTTCCAATTTTACAAATTAATATCCTAAGCCTTCCTTTTTTCTTTCTAATCTTTGTCTTGTAGCTTTTTGAGCCAAACTAGGGCCGGGACCGGTTTGGCTCAGTGGATAGAGGGTCGGCCTGCGGACTGAAAGGTCCTGGGTTCGATTTCGGGCAAGGGCATGTACCTTGGTTGCGGGTACATCCCCAGTGGGGGTTGTGCAAGAGGCAGCTGATCAATGATTCTCTCTCATCGATGTTTCTAACTCTCTATCCCTCTCTCTTCCTCTCTGTGAAAAATCAATAAAAAATGTTTAAAAACAAAAAAACAAAACTAGGGATAAAAAAGTTCTAGAAGAATGAGTGTGTATAACCTTTGCTGAAATGAATTAGTTCGATTTTATTTTGTCTAGATAGCTATACCTAATTGGAAATGTTCCCATTTGTATCATGTCAATGAGTATCAAGTTTTTTTCTCTGTATATTTATAACTACAACTATGTTTGATTTCTGAGTGTGTGGATTTATAAATATCACCTTGGGAAAGATTTCATATATAATTTCTATCTAAGTGATGAGGTTAGATTATTACTTTCCTGAAAATGTGAATTTTTAAGAATTAAGGAAATTCAAAACTGTTTTATACCAAGTTTGGAAATTGCTATGGCTCAGATAGCTTAGTTCAATAACCATGTAATAGCAATAACACTATTTGACTATCTTCTATAAATAACACTTTGTATGTACTTTCCTTTCAAATAGGGATCGGGCTCCTTTTGTCCTGACCTCTGATATGGCATATGTCATTAATGGGGGTGAAAAGCCCACCATTCGTTTCCAGTTATTTGTGGACCTCTGCTGTCAGGCCTACAATTTGATAAGAAAGCAGACAAACCTCTTTCTTAACCTCCTGTCACTGGTAATTGTTCTTTACAAGCATGTAATTACTTTTACTAGTATATTAATATTTCTGTATTTCAGTAACTACAAAATGATTTTGGAGTAAATTTTTTATAATGATTTTGGAGTAAAATTTACTATAGTCTCACATGTCAGATATATTATTACCAGCATATTCAAAAATTGCTACAGTGTGAAATATGCCAGAGATCCTTGTTAGAAAATATTTTTTTTTAAGTCGCAGGTTATTCTGCAAGTGAGGAGTAATAGTAACAGAAAGGGATGCTGGTAAATGTATTGTGTCTTATCTGGGGGTGTTCAGATTGTGAATATTCATTAAGCTGTACATTTAAGGTTTCTGTACTTTTCTGGATCTACGCTGAGTGGCCAGATTATTATGATTTCTGGACGCATAATAATCTGGCCATTCAGTGTATATCCTATATAATAAAAGGCTAATATGCAAATTGTTCCCTTGACCAGAAGTTTGACCAGCAGGCAGACCGGCCAACCGCCCATGTCCCCTCCCCCTGACTAGGCTAGCTGGAGCCCACCCATGCACGAATTCATGCACCGGGCCTCTAATACACACACACACACACACACACACACACACACACACACACACACACACACACACACACACGAAGCCTGGTGCACAAAATTCGTGCATGGTGGAGGGGTCCCTCTGCCCAGCCTACACTATCTCCAATCTGGGACTCCTAAAGAGATGTCCAACTGCCTGTTTAGGCTCAATCCTGGTGGAATCAGGCATAAATGGGCAGTCAGATACCCTTCTCACAATCCGGGACTGCTGGCTCTCAACTGCTCGCTTGCCTGCCTGCCTGATTGCCCTTAACTGCTTCTGCCTGCCAGCGTGATCAACCCCTAATCACTCCCTTGCCAGCCTGATAAACACCTAACTGCTCCCCTGCCAGCCCAATTGCTCTAACTGCCCTCCTCTGCCAGCCTGGTCACCCCTAACTGTCCTCTCTTGCAGGCCTAGTTGCCCCCAACTGCCCTCCCCTGCTGGCCCAGTCACCCCTAACTGCCCTTCCTGCCAGCCTGGTCACCTCTAACTGTCCTCCCCAGCAGGCCTGATCACCCCTAACTGCCCTCCCTGCGAGCCTGGTGACCCCTAAATGCCCTCCCCTGCAGGCCTTATCCCTCCCAATTGCCCTCCCCTGCAGGCCTTGTCCCTCGCAACTGCTCTCCCCTGTAGGCCCAGGTCGTTCCCCCTCCCCCGCAACTGTTCTCCCCTGCAGGCCTGGTCATGCCTAACTGCTCTCCTCTGCAGGCCTGATCACCTCCAACTGCCCTCCCCTGCAGGCCTTGTCCTTCCCAACTGCCCTCTCCTGTTGGCCCAGTCACCCCTAACTTACCTATCACCCTTGTTAGCCTGGTTGCCCCTAACTGCCCTCCCCTGCTAGTCTGGGTCCCCCCCAATTGTCCTCCCACTGCAGGCCTGGGCCCCCCTCCTCCCCAGCTGTCCTCCCCTGCCAGCCCGGTCATGCCTAACTGCCCTCCTCTGCAGGTCTGATCACCAACTTCCCTCCCCTGCAGGTCTTGTCCCTCCAACTGCCCTCTCCTGCAGGCCTGGTCCCCCCAGTTGTCCTCCCCTGTCCTAACTGCCCTCCCCTGCAGTCCTGATTGCCCCCAACAGCCCTCCCCTGCTGGCCATCTTGTGTCCACATGGGGGTGGCCATCTTGTGTGTTGGAGTAATGATCAATTTGCATATTACTCTTTTATTAGATAGGATATATGTGTGTGTGTATACACACACACACACACTCTGAGTGGCCATTATTATGCATTCAGAAATCATAATAATCTGGCCACTCAGTGTATATTAAGTAAAAACAAACCAAAAACACCACTATGATTATTATGATTGAAATTAATATAAAAAGAATACTACACAAAATTGTCTGGATTTTACAATTTATATTCCATAAACTGACTTTGTGAATTCCAATAATTAACTTCATTTCCTCAATTTTTTTCAATAATAAGACTCACTTAAGTTTTAAATCATAAACTCCCCCAAACTGTGATCATTTTTGTTCACTTTAGTTCTGATTACCTGGATAGCTTTTAGGGAAGAATGGGGAACAGACTTTTAAAAACATTAACTCACAGACTTTTTTTCCCCCTTCCTATAGATGATTCCCTCAGGGTTACCAGAACTTACAAGTATTCAAGATTTGAAATATGTTAGAGATGCACTTCAGCCCCAAACTACAGATGCAGAAGCAACAATTTTCTTTACTAGGTAATTCATGCTTAAATATATTAGAGAAGGCACTCAATTTAGCTTTGATTTGTTTTCCTTAGTATAGACAAATGCTATACATCAAAATTCTGATTTACAGGAGAAAAATTGATTCAGAGTATTAACAAATAGTAGGTTGTCAAGTTTATTTACTGAGTAAGTATAAAGGATTTGCAACATTAAAAATAAACTTATTTCTCTCAAGGTATGATCTCAAGTTTTATTTAGCATATGATTTCAATTATAAAAATCCTATTTCTGAACTATTTCTGTGAAGCATATTTTCTGCAGTGCCAAATACAATTTTTATGGGTATCATAAGTGCTTAAAACAGCATCCTCTGCAGCACTGCTGTAGTAAATTGTTTGATAGCATGTGAACTTGTCATTATTGCTATAAAGACAAATATGTTCTAAATGTCTGGTGACCAGGTTGGTCAGTTCTCTCCTTGTTCTCTTGCCTTCTTCCTCTCAGTGGAGAAGAGGTAGGAAACACTGTACTGAATTTCCTTAGTCTCAAGAGTCTGGGCTGAATTGAATTGAAGGAAACTGACTTTTGTATAGCCTTCTAAACTAATCCTGATAATTTAGGTATTGATGAGTTTTATTTTTTTTAAAGAGTTTCGTAGGCTCCTCTGGGTAAAGCTATAAAGCAGGCATATATTAGTCTGCTTGATCTGTTTTGTCAAAATACCATAGGTGAGGTAGCTTAAACAACAGAAATTTAATTTCTCATAGTTCTGGAGGCTGGGAAGTCCAAGATCCAGGTATCAGTTGATTTGCTTCATGGTAAGGGCTCTAGCTTGCAGACTACTCTCTCATCACTGTTTTCTCCTGAAAGAGAGAGATAGAGCAAAATAAGACTATGAGAAGAATAATCCTGCCCTGACCGGTTTGGCTCATTGGATAGAGCGTTGGCCTGACTCAAGGGTCCCAGTTCGATTCCGGTCAGGGGCATGTACCTCGGTTGTGGGCACATCCCCAGTGGGGGGTGTGTAAGAGGCAGTTGATCGATGTTTCTCTCTCATTGATGTTTCTAACTCTCTATCCCTCTTCCTCTCTTTAAAAAATCAATAAAATATATATCAGGGCCCTACCTTTAATCTTAATTTCTAACTACATAAAGGCCAAACCCATTGGAGCTTGAACACATGAATTTTGGGAGACACAATGTTTAATCCATAGCAAGGCAAACATAAAGATGTGTGAGGTTTTCTCATTTCCCTATTGAATCCTTTTTCTCTTTCTGGATTCCTTTATTCTGGTTCTGAAACTTCTTTTTCCTTCGCTTGCCTACAATGTTTTATCCAGGTCTGCCTTCTGAACTGATTCTCACCAAACTCTCCATCCTGTCGAAACTTATTTTCCCACCCAATTGAGGGAAGTCATGATTATCTGAAGGACTGTCATAGTAGATTCTACTATTTGATAAAAGAGATTTGTTTTTTTTAATTTGAATTACTCTGGATTCTTCCTCCTATACCTGTTTAGCTGTCACTGTCCAGGTTTATTACAAGGGACTAAATAATAAAATCATCTTTTGGCATTATACCAGTCATCTTCTATCACTAAAAGCTTTTAATTAGTATTGGACCCCAGAGGGCTCAAGAAATAAAAGCATCATTTCTTGGAGACAATGGGATTGAGATTCTTGTGCTAACATTTTTGTTGGGGTGAGATGTATTTTAATGGGTTTTTGGCTTATAGAACAAAGAGGATCTTTGACAGAGTGAGAGTCTGCTTAATATTTTAAAAGGAATGAAAATATTTTTCATCTTTTATTATGTTAAAAGAATTGAGCATGTGTTCTCATGGACATTTACTGTTAACACATTTTCTGTTTATTTTGTAGGCTGATTGAATCCAGCTTGGGAAGCATTGCCACAAAATTTAACTTCTTCATTCATAACCTTGCTCAGCTGCGTTTTTCTGGTCTTCCTTCCAATGATGAACCTATCCTTTCATTTTCACCCAAAACATACTCCTTTAGACAAGATGGTCGAATCAAGGAAGTCTCTGTTTTCACTTACCATAAGAAATACAACCCAGATAAACATTACGTAAGTTTGGTTTGATTTGTAGAGACTAGTGCCTGCATTATTGTCCTTTTCCACTTCTTTCATTGACTCTGCTGAAGTTTCAAGCATTTGTTCTTTTCATACTTCTTTCTTCCATGGATGGTCCAAAAATAAATAAATGTACTTGGGGCTTCCCTAATTGTTTTTTGGTATTTATTTCTTGGTAGATTTGCTCCAAAACCATGAGGGACAAATGATATTCTTCTTTTCAGAGACAAGACTAAAAGGGTAGTGCTTTTTCTCCTTCCTTATCTTCAATTCGTTCTTAATTTCAAAGGTAAAGCTTGCTCATTGTAACAAATTCAACCAATATAGAAGCATGTAAAGTTAAAATCATTTCTAAGTTCTTATCCTACTCCTCAGAAATGATGAAATGTTATCACACACATACAGTTTGTTTTTTAAAAACAGTACTTTGGTGTGCTTTCTCCCTAATAGTATATAGCATTATCATCATTTTACTGTTTTATTCACCCTTGTGCTAATAATTTTGTTGGGTAAAACTTTGTGGCTCTGTGAGTCTTTAAATTTTTGACAGATTGATAAATTTCAGAAAGCAACTTTACTATTATTTAAATTTTAAGCTATTTTATTAATTTTTGTATGTTCACTGGTTATTTTACCCTAACACCATTTATTGAGCAGTACTTCCACTTCCCCCAATGATTTATCATGCCACCTTTAAATACACTAATTTTATACATATTTCTTCTGTAGCTGTAGCTAGCTCTGCACCAATATTTTGCTCTCTAAAGTACTCTGATATCATAATAGTTTAAATATTCAATAAGATATGTTTTCCCTTATACCCCGGCTGTCATAAATTTTGCTTTTTTTCTTATTTACTCTTTTAAATGAACTTACTAATATTTTCATTGAAAATGTACTATATTTATAAATTTGACCAGTAAATTTATTTTATTTTATTCTGGAAATAAAATGACTTCACTTTCCAGTTCATATTTCTATAAGATCGCTCTTAGAATGTTGTTAGATGTGCTATAAATGAGTTTTATATTTGCTGTTTTCTATTGGGGACATATATTAACAAGCTAAAAGCACTTGGATTATACACTAAAGAGGCCAGATTATTATTATCTCTGAACACATAATAATCTGGCCACTTAGTGTGTGTGTGTATATATATATATATACATTTTTTTTTTTTTTTTTAGAGGCCTGGTGCATGAATTCGTGCTTGGGTGGGGTCCAGACAGCCTGGCCAGGGGGAGGAGACATGGGCAGTTTACCGGCCTGCCTGCTGATCGAATTCCTGGTTGAGGGGACAATTGCATATTAGCCTCTTATTATGTAAGATATACACTGAATGGCCAGATTATTATGTGTTCAGAGATCATAATAATCTGGCCATTCAGTGTATAAAATGATCAAACTCTATATTTTCTTTCTGTCGGGAAAGGTTTTATTATGAATCTAATGTGTTTGGGTGTGATTTCTTCAGATTTATGTAGTCCGAATTTTGAGGGAAGGACAGCTTGAGCCATCATTTGTGTTCCGGACATTTGATGAATTTCAGGAACTGCACAACAAGCTCAGTATTATTTTTCCACTTTGGAAGTTACCAGGGTATGTTCCTATTCATGTACATTAATCCTCTTTTATAGAAAATAACTTATTATTAAGTGTAGGTTAAAAGTTTTGTGTTAATACTTAGTAAGATACTATGAACCATATGTGACTTATTTTCCTTTATATCACAAGAGCCTAATACAGTACTAGATTAAAGCAAGGAACTGTAAGTTTTTTATTAATGAGTTAACAAATTATCAAAATCTGAAATTGCCCTGGCCACTGTGGCTCAATTGGTTGGGCGTTGTCCTGTACAACAAAAGGTTGCCAGTTTGATTTCTAGTCACATGCTCAGGTTGTGGGATCCCCTGCAGGAGGCAGCCAATTGATGTTTCACTCTCTCCCTCTTCCTCTTCCTTCCTCTCTAAAATCAAAAACATATTTCTTAAAAATAAATCTTAAACTTAAATTTTGGGATTTTCCAGTTTTCTAATTATAATGTAAGCTTTAAATTTGCTATCTCTACCATAGTAAGCAACACAAGATAATAAATTTTGGAATATTGGTGTTCAAGAAACAGATTTTAAATAACTGCAGGAAAAAATCTATTATGATCATACTGAGCTCATCTGGATAAAAAAGAGCTGAGGCATTGAGATTGTTAGTCAGAATCTTAGTGTTTATTTTTGTATCTGATACAGTTTAGAGACCCTCAGTTTTAATTTAGCTGAGTTTATTTCCATGTGCAATACTAGATTCAAACATTTTTCCACTGCCACCAAACTAAGCAGTTAAGATTATCTTGATTTGGGGCCTTTGTCGTTTGTGAATTTTACTGGTCTCTACAATAGCTGTGGCTAATTAATGATTATTTTGGAGGTTAAGATCTGCATAAAATATCTGTGAATGATTAATCCTGAGAAGAAATAAGTAGAAAATAAGTTTAAAATACAGAAATTAGAAAAACAACAAACCTTTTGTGCCAGGATTCTTAAAAGAACAATGGAACTATTGATATTTCATCTCCAGTACTTTGAAGAGAAATCGCAAAATTTACTTTATAGTGGATTAAGAATCCAGTTTGTATTTAAGTATGTAAAAAAGTGTATTTCTAAGTAAATATTGAACTTGATTCCACAAATACTTCCAGATGAAATAATTTAAATCCCACTTATTACTGTTTTTCTTTTGTAGCTTTCCTAATAGAATGGTTCTAGGAAGAACGCACATAAAAGATGTAGCAGCCAAAAGAAAAATTGAATTAAACAGTTATTTGCAGAGTTTGATGAGTGCTTCAACGGATGTAGCAGAGGTGATTGTCCTAATTGAAAAATAACATACTATTTTTGTGCTACATAATGCTTAAGCTAATGGATCTTTTCCTCTTCTTTCTTAGTGTGATCTTGTTTGTACATTTTTTCACCCTCTACTTCGTGATGAGAAAGCTGAAGGAATAGCTAAGTCTGCAGGTGAGAATATTGTTTTCTCTTTATTGATAGATCACAGCTTCCTATGGCCCTCAAGTCTGTAACTAATCCGTGGATGAGGTGGAATCATGGTGGGGTTGCAAGCTGTGGTCCAGTGTGATGAGAGGAGGTATTCTTTCTAAGCCAGTCTGTTTCTAGATAAACATAATTGTCCTAATAGAATGTAATTACTAAAGAAATATATATCCTATGGCCTACCAGGTTCTTTGCCCTTTGTTACTGCACATTCACATGGTCCTGGAGTTAAAGCAAAATTTTTTTTGTTGTGGCTTGATCCACTGCAAGCAAGATAAAAATATGGTTAACATATTTATATTTTCAGGTGCGGGACCCTTCAGTCCTACTCCAGGCCAAATAGGAGGATCAGTGAAATTATCTGTCTCTTACCGAAATAGTACTCTTTTCATCATGGTGATGCACATCAAAGATCTTGTGAGTGATTACAAATACTGGTGGTTGTAGAGGAAACCCATTCCTTGGTAGGAAGCATGTTAAGGGAATGCTTTTCTTTGTAGGTTACTGAAGATGGGGCTGACCCAAATCCATATGTCAAAACATACCTACTTCCAGATCCCCACAAAACATCTAAACGCAAAACCAAAATTTCACGTAAAACTAGGAACCCGACATTCAATGAAATGGTAAGTTAAAATCGTTTCTAAAAATTTCCTTGATTTGTTGTTTTGAGATTTTAAACTTAAAATTTTTAGGTATTGATTGTTATACTGTTAAAGTAAATCAGTAGCAGCCCAATGGTATTGAACAAAGTGATGCAGCCCTAGCGGTTTGGCTCTGTGGATAGAGCGTTGGCCTGCAGACTGAAGGGGCCCTGTTTCGATTCAGGTCCAGAGCACATACCTGAGTTGCAACTTGATCCCCAGTAGGTGGTGTGCAAGAGGCAGCCAATGATTCTCTCTCATCATTGATGCTTCTATCTCTCCCTCCCTCTTCCTCTCTGAATCAATAAAAATAATAAAAAAAAACACACAAAATGATGCAGAATTGAACCCTCAATCATAGACCTTAGGTTTTAAGAAGATCTTAGGGGCCATTATTCAACTACCTTTCCAGCTTGAACCCCTTCTACATTTTCAAAAAGGGGGGCGGGCTGTTCAGTCTATACTGAAGTACTTCCAGGCCATCCAGTTTGTTTGGGGCAGCTCCAACGCTCATATTACTTTTTATACTGAGCTGGAATCTTCCCTCCCTAGAGTTTGCACCTGTGGGTTTCACCTCTGGGAACCACACAGACTGTTCTTTTCCTCCTACATGGCAGCCCTTCAGATAACTGAAGTTTAAATGCCCTGTTTATTCTTTTAAAACATCTTCAGTACCTTAACCTTTGCTTGATAGGATGTATAATAGTTTCAAAATCATCTTCCTTCTAACTAGTTTCAGCAATCCTCTTGAAATAGAGTGCTTTTAACTGTAGCCGGCATCAGCTAAACAGGATGGAGCAGAACTGTGACTGCTCGGCTACTCATGGCCAACTTGTAAAATTCCTCATCTGTTAGAACCCACTAACTCTTAGTTAACTGCTTCTTTAGAATAAACACTACTTTATTTGTGCACTTTAACACTGCATCCACACAAAATCTCTATATAGAGATTTGAAAGCAAATAGCTCTGAATTTTTATCAAGTTTATGAATTTATTAAAATCTTAGCATATCCTTTCAGTCCATTAAAAGCATATAAAATGTTTTAAGTGTTAAATGTAGAATTTGAAAGAGAGTAGCCAACACACCAGATTTTCTATGAATTACATTGTAGTTGATGAGTTTGCATTGGATTATGGATAATTAGAAATTATTTCATGGTATCTAAAATCCAACAGATAAAAAAGAAAAAAAAGAAAAAGAAAATAGATATAGAAGTTCAATGAGAATAAATAAGAAAGGTTATGGTCACATAATTATGTTTCTTTAGGCTGAGAAATAAAATACATCTGTGTAGATACTTAAAATTTATCTATTGAAAAAATTATGTTCTTATATCACTTACCTGCTTATCTACTTCTTGAATAAAATTAAGTGTCTCAATAAAAAATAAAATAAAATAAAATAAAATCCAACAGAAAAAAAAGATAACAAAAGAAAATTTTAATACCTTGGGGGGTTTTTTTTGTTTGTTTGTTTTTTGTAAAATACTTATAATTATGCTGTCTCAACTTGCTTCCTTCTATTCTCATTAGATCATCTTAGTGCATGCTGCCTTTCCCCATACTCCATCTCAGAAAGACCATGTTTTTAGTTTTAAGCCATAATAACTTTCTATGTTGTGCATTTCTATGTCAGATTCTCAGAGGACTGATAATACAATTCAGGACCCCTGAAATACAAAATGTGTATCTAACGCATGAGAAAAATTCCACCAGATGTGTCATAATCAATGTCATTAATTTAGTCACTTTGACTAGTGACCTCACTTGTGTTTACTTAATAATAATCCAAGAATTCAAAGAAATAATGTGTAACTTTCTGTTTTCTTTTTGCCTTTGCTGTAGCTTGTGTACAGTGGATACAGCAAAGAAATCCTAAGACAGAGAGAACTTCAACTAAGTGTACTCAGTGCAGAATCTCTGCGGGAGAATTTTTTCTTGGGTGGAATAACCCTGCCTTTGAAAGATTTCAACTTGAGCAAAGAGACGGTTAAGTGGTATCAGCTGACTGCAGCAACCTATTTCTAAGCTAATGAATTTCTGAGCTTTGGAAGTAGAATAGTTATAAACACACACACACTTGAGAACTTTGTATAGTATTTTTATACTTGGATAGAAAATATAAAGTAAATGTACTTGCTGCATTTCAATACACATGTTGGACCAACAGTCACATAACTAACTTTTATGAATTTGTTGAAGCCATTGCTGTTTCAAAGTTATTATGTAGAATGCTGTAAACCCTAAACTTAATATATAATAAGTCTTCAAAAGACTTGAACAATTTAATCCTCTCTTAAGTAATTCAGATTAATAGCTTTAGTTTGGTCTTTTTTTCATTGTTTCTTACATAGACACAGCATGTTTGTTTTCCTGTTTTGCACCTTCTATAGCCTTTACCTCTGTGCATGTTTGCAAACACCAAAGGAAAGGAAAGGTGCAGATGTTACAGACAAATGCAGCTGCTATTCACAGGGCCGAAAAGCAAAGCACAAATTATAGATAATTATGTTAAGAACTACTAAGTAGTTTATAAACATAGGGGGAAATAACATTGCTTTCTATTTTTCATGTCATTAAAGCCTTTTTCAGAATGAAGTTACTGAAGTTGTAAATAATGGTGCCTTAACTTCATATCTGCCTGACACTTCATTCTGACTTTTTCTGACTTGATAACTAGTAAGTAGTTTTCACTCACTTTCAGCTTACTCAAGACAAAAAGTTATTTACTAGTGTTTTTCCCACAGAAAGATCATTTTCTCTACTTCTGATACGTGACTTAGTTAAAGTCAGCCATTTAATTTATGTTTGTGTTATCCAGTAATTGAATGAGATCCATCAATGTAGCTGTACACTAAATTCCATCATTCCATTATTCTAATAGTCCTACATTTGTTCCTAGGAGTGTGAGTTTGGTAGTTTCACTTCCATGTATCTATACTCCACTCCTTCATTAAACAAGTGAAAATTGTTTACCCATGTACCCATTCCTGTTCAGTAGAACTCCAATGAGTAGGGCAGACTCTTCCCAGTGGGCCCAGGACAAGAATTCTAGGGTCCATACTGAATTAAAATGTAGACGTTTATGGCAGAGTTGATTTTGTAAGTGTCTTACTTACATTTGTAAACATTGTACATTAAGAAATTATTTTCCTTAATATAATGTGACTTAGAATCATAAGAGACATGATTGAAATCATTTATAGTAACCATTAAGAATAAGATTCATTTTTATTAGTTATTCAACTTCACAAACAGTTTTGTGTTTAGTTTGGATAAATATGTATATATAATATTCTCATGGCTAAAATAGAAAGTCACTTTTTAAATGATAATAGATTGTAACAATCTGGGTGCTGTGAGATAACTGACAAAATATGCATTGTAGAAAACCAACACAGAAAGGACAGTCTGCAAGTTAGTTGTCCAGAACAGAATTTTTATAAACTGTGCAAATATTTAATATACATGGAGATACCTGCAGAGCAGAAATAGATGAGTCGATGATACATCAGTGGGACAGGCAAAAATAAAAATAAAAACTTGAAATTTTTGGTGCCTAACACTAATGGTCCATTTGTAAGAAACCCCATGAGTATGATATATGAATGTCTTTTTTAAATGTTAAATGTGTTGTCTATTTTAATACAATAATTAAATGCACATCAAAGCACCACTGTTTTTTTTTTTTTTTTTTTTTTTTTTCCCCAGAAAGCAGGTGTAAGTAGCTTTTCAAATGTAAAGAAGTAGTAGATATTTTCACTTAAGTTTTTGATACCTAATTCCATTCCACAGCCACTGTAAAAGTACTGTTTTGGTTAAAGGTCATTGTTAATTGGACTCAATGTAAACTGCCTATTTGCAGTCTGTTACTGCAGTGCCTCTTAGCACAAATATTAGAGCTAGAAAATGGGGTCACTTTTCAATTACAAGAAATCTGGATTTTTTTTTTTTTAAAAATCTGTATTCTTATCTGAAAGTGTATATTATGATTAATATTGTACAGTTAACCAGAGTTCAGAACAAGTGGTGATGTTTTCTCTTAATTTAACTCATTCTGTGCCTTCTTTGGTCATTAAAACACCACACACATACTTTACACATATTCTAATATAAGTTATTTCTTTGTGAAATGCTCATCTTCAGCCCTTACCAAAAAAGGGACTGGGGCACCTCTTTGCACTGCTACTATCAATAGATTTTTAAATCAGTTGTTTTTTAATCATTTTTTAAAGCTTACATTCAAGTAAATCAAACAAAAGTTTAAACAAGCTAGCCAATACACTAATTTGTATGTATAATCACGTTTTATATCTGTCTTTATTGAGTAAAAATAATTAATTACATAAGTCCTGTACCAGAAGAATTCTTTCCTCTTGGAGTGTTTTGGGATTTGAAAAATAATGCTTTACTCCCAGAACCTATTTTCTCTACTGAGGAACCCAATGTAGAACTTGCACTGATAGTTTTATCACTGCCTTTAAAAGAAATCAATAGGTATCTAAATGTTAAGGCATGTATGGTCTTTGATAAAGTATTTTATCTTTTCAAATTAATGTTGAATAAAAGTTTCAATATCTTGCCTTCAGTTGGTTAATGAGTCTTTTCTAGGACTCCAGTACTATGGCATATAAAAAAGAAAACATTCAATTTTGATACTTAGACTGCACATAAAAAAGGACTGAAGCCACACTACTATAATTTATAGATTAATTTACATGCTGTTTGACTAGCAGTGCAAATATGAATGAATATGGTAGTTAGTCTGATCTATAAGAACCAAATACTTTAATTATGTTAAGGTAGTGAATAAAGATGTATAATTTTTTTTATTAATACCTTGAATATATTCAGTGGATTGAATGTGACTTCATAACTGTACTATAATTTTATTAAAATATTTCTGGAATAAAGGAACTCTGCTATCAGTTCTTTCCTCATCACCATATTACTGTTTTTGGTTCCAAACTTTGAACTCACTGTTGGTTCTTTGCATTTTACCCAGGAGTTTATTAGGTTCATATAATCCTGAATTTCAGAACTGATTTGTCAGGTTACCCTAAAGATGTTCAAATAAAGTGTGTCTGATTTCTAAGTGTGGTCTTTGAAGATCTAGATTGCCACTTGCCCAGAGTCCCATCACCATTTCACAGAACTGAAATGCTTCTGTGAGTATGGCCCCTGGCCTTTGGTAGTTTATTTAAATGCTAGAGGCCTGTTACATGAAGATTTGGGCAACAGGCCTTCCTTCCCCTGGCTGCCTGCGCTGGTTTTCCTCCGGCACCGGGACCCGGGCTGCAGTGGAGCCAAGCCTTGGGTCTTCAGTCTTCGCTCTGTGCCTGCATATGCAAATTAATCCTATATCTACACACTCCTGATCAGCTGGTAGGTGTCATAGATGGATGGTCAATTTACATCTTCCTCTTTTATTAGTGTGGATTAAATAGAGTGGTAACAACCATGTTATAGACATACCTACGCAACAGGAAAATGTAGATTCTTTTAATACACAGAAACCAGGAAAAAGCAGTAACTTAAACAATTAGAGCCAGTTTTGAGGGGGTGATAAATTCAATTTCTGTCACAAAATCTATTTTATTTCATCCCTACTCTTTCAAAACACTTTATCATACAAATTTTAGACATACAAAATTAGACAATAGTAGAATGAATTCCATGTATGATTCCATCATATACCTACAACAGTTACTACCTTAGGTCTAATCTTATTTGATATGTATTAACTAGGAGGTGCCTTATATGCAGATACCTTTTTTTTTTTTTCTATTTTAGAATTCTTAAATCTATGGATCAGTAACTTCAGTTCTGAATAATTTAGTATGATTTCTTCAATTATTACTCACTTCAACTGTTTGACCCATTCATTGAGTTTTAAATATTGGTGGTTTATTTTTCATTTCCAGAATAACTACTTGTTTTGTTTTTTGTTTTTTTAAATCATGAAAGATATTCATAAGACTGACAAGATCAATGGGGAAAGAATTGTTTTTCAACAAAGTCAATTAGATAACCATATGCAAAAGAACTCTTACAACATATACAAAAATTAGTTCAAAATGGATCAAAGACCTAAACATAACTAAAATTATAAAACTTAGGAGAAAACAAGTGTGCATCTTTGTAACATTGGACTAGACAGGGTTTCTTAAGCATGACACAAAAAGCACAAGTGTGCCTTGGTTGGAGTGTTATCTACACACAAAGGGGTGGTGGGTTCAATTCTGGTTGGGGCACAAGTCCAGGTTGCAAGTTCAATCCTTCATCAGAGCACAGCTGATCAAGTTTCTCTTCTCTCAAATTAAAAAAAAAGCAACAAAAGAAAAATAATAAACATGGCTGCATAAAAAATTTTTTTAAACCCACCCCCCCAAAAAAAATTTAAATTTAAATATTTTATGCATCAAAGGACACTATTTGTAAAGTAAAGACATCTCACAAAATGGGAGAGAATAGTCACAAATCATATATCTGATATGACACAAATAGGCAAATGAGTGAATACACATTCCTCCAAAATGATCAAACACATGAAAAGATATTTAACACACTCTAGCCGGTTTGGCTCAGTGAATAGAGCATCGGCCTGTATACTGAAGGGTCCCAGGTTCGACTCCGGTCAAGGACAAGCCTGGGTTGTGAGCTCAATCCCCAGTAGGGGGTGTGCAGGAGGCAGCCAATCAGTGATTCTTCTATCTCTGCCTCCTTTCTCTCTGAAATCAGTAAAAAAAAAAAATTATATATTTGAAAAGATGCTCAATTTTATTAGAGAAATACAAACAAAAATTATAGTGAGTTACTAATTCACACCCCCTGGGATAACCAGAATAAAAAGTTTGAGGGCCTCATTTATTCCTGGTGGCAATGCAAAAAAGTGCAGCTGCTGTGGAAAATAGTTTAAGAGTTCTCAAAAAGTTAAACATAGTTACCCAGCAATTTATATACTGTGTGAAGATGTATATAAAACCTCAAGAATTGAAAACAGGTACTCAAATACTTACACACACATGTTCACAGCATTATTCATAATGACTAAAAAGTACAAATAAAACAACTTTCCGTCAACCAATGCACAAATAAAGTGATATATCCATACAATGGAATATTACTCGTGAATGTACTAAAAGACTGAATTATAAACTTTAAAATAGCAAATTTTATAGTATGTGAATTTTAAAAGGCTATACAATCAATTTTTAAAAACCATTTAATTATGGTATCTAATTGTGCTAACTGAAAATTTTTTAGAAAATAATTTCCCCCTTTTGTCTTTAAAAAATCAGGTTCCAATTTATGAAAGTTCTCAAAAAAAGCATGCCACGTGTAAAGGCAATAAGGATATGACATCATTTGATTAAAGTTCAACACAATTAACCAACTACATATTTTACTTTGATATTATTGATACAGACATGGCTAGATAATGTGAAAAACTAGTGGAGGGCTTACACACGATCAAAGAAATCTTGAAATAACTGTTAGTTTCTATTCCATAAATATTTTAGTCAACATTCCTATATCCTTATTAGAAAAACACTGATTTTTTTCTTTTTTAACCAGAGTGGAATTCTCAAAACAATCCAGCACTGGGGTTGGCTACATCATAGACATCTCTCAATATTTCCACTACAAGACATAGCTGGGATGTCGGGGGGCTGCTGAAGGCAGGCACGCCATTCAAAGCAATACTTAAGAAACGCACGTGTAATTAAGTACGTAATTGACCTGACTCAAATTCGCTGGGGGCGGGAGCGCGGCTAAAGACCTTTCCTAGGGTAGGAAAAGCCCACCAACCACTGCAGCGGTCTCCAGCCCGACTCCTAGTCCGGATTCCAGCCTGCGCGCTCTGGACGCCGGCACCACCCTCAGACGCGCGGTCCCGGCTGCAGGCGGACTTAATTTCCGGGTCTGGCCTCGAACCGCCTCAAAGACAGATGCATGCCGGGATGTGTAGTCCTGTTGATCAGGCATCCACTACCGCGTTGAAGTGCATTTCGGGATATGTAGTCAGGCGGACGCTGGGGGCTACGCAGTGTGGCTCCGCCTCCCGCGTGGGAGGTAGCGGGGACGTGTGAGGTCACTTCCTGCGTGCTGGGTGGCTTCCTGCGGCGTTTCCAATTCACGCTCTCTTTGCCACAGCCAGTCCGCCGCCATCATGGGTCGCATGCACGCTCCCGGGTGAGCTCCCGGGTTTCCCAGAGGGGTGCAGGGCTCGGCCGCGGGGATGGGGGCGGGAGAGGGGGAAAGGACCGAGAGTGCGCAGCGGGTCGAGGGGATGATGGCCTTGGCTGCTGTGGCCCAGAGCGCCCCTTCATCCCAAGTCTGCTTCCCTCCGCAGGAAGGGCCTGTCCCAGTCGGCTCTGCCCTACCGCCGCAGCGTCCCCACCGTAAGTAGCTTGCAGGGACGCGGGAGGACGGGGAGAGGCGCACCGTTTGTCGCTCCGGGGAGGTGGCGCGGAGTGGGGGCCATGTGTGCGCGGGGAGCGCGACTTCCCGGGTGGAGGGACCGCCCTGCTTCGCTGCCATCCCAGGTCTGTGATCCTAAGGCTGCTTTCTTTTCTGCAAACAGTGGCTGAAGTTGACGTCTGACGACGTGAAGGAGCAGATCTACAAACTGGCCAAGAAGGGCCTGACTCCCTCACAGATCGGTGCGTGTTGTTGTCTAATGTGGTCCCTTCCCGCCTGTCCTCGTGTAACTTAACCGGAAGGAGTGGTGGTGGTGGTGGTGGTAAATGCGTCCCAAATGTGCTTGAAAACTTTTTATCCTTTTTCCTGACTTTATTGTGGATGACCCAGATCTAATCAAGTTCTCTTTAGATGGTCAAGTTATCAAGACGTTCTCCAGGTTTTAATGAGTACCGTGGGCTACTCCGCAGAGTGCATGGTTCTGAGCACTTTACATATCCTGGCCTGTCGTTTCTGACAGCAGTGCTTTGAAATAAACTAGTAGTTTTCCCCATCTTACCGCAGAGGAAACTGAGGCACAATGTGGCTGTATAACTGGCCTCAGATCACACAGCTATTGGCTACTGTCACTTTCTCAGCTGTGTGTGACTTTGCAAGTGGCTTTACATTTTTAGAAGAATATCTGATGTTCTTAATAAACATTAGATGTTTTTAATTGAGCAACTATACATATTGGAGTCTTTCTTAATAGCTTTAATGTCCTGGAATCTAGCAAGCTCACTATGATGATGGTCTTCCAACATTCGCAGTTTCCACCAGAAGGGTTTTCCTTAGTGTTGGGTAAACCTTCCTTGGATGTCTGAGTGAGCTCCGCTTGAATTCTCACATTGGTGTCTGTGATGCATAAATATAAAAATAAGTCCCGTTTTACAGACGGGAAGCTTGAAAAGCTACTTGATCTTAGAACCCGGATGTCACTGCTCCAGGATGTGTGTGTGGTGTGGGAATTTATGATATACTAGAGGCCTGAGCACGAAAATCGTGCAAGAATAGTGTCTTCCTTCCCCTGGCTGCTGGCACTGGCTTCCCTCTGGTGCTCAGGACCTGGGCTTCACTTGCAGCCCCGGCATAGTGGGGAAGGTCCAGAAGGACTTCCTGTCTATGTAGCATATTACTCTTTTATTATATAGGATTGTTCCCTTTACAGGTGTGATCCTGAGAGACTCGCATGGCGTTGCACAAGTACGTTTTGTGACCGGCAATAAGATCTTGAGAATTCTTAAGTCTAAAGGACTTGCTCCTGATCTTCCTGAGGACCTCTACCATTTAATCAAGAAAGCTGTTGCCGTTCGAAAGCATCTTGAGAGGAACAGAAAGGTAAGAGAATAGAACTGCTTGTGCTAACTTGTTTCAATGAAATGTAATTTGAATTAGATAAGGTGGTTTAGAATTAAAAGTCTGCCAGGAGAGACTGGTGGAGGAGGTTTGGCTCTCCTAGTTACAGTCTATTCAGTTGGTTGGAAATGTTGAGCTGTTGGTTGAGTTTTACAAATCATTTCTGCTTAGTCTTGTGGAAGGAAGCCTTCAGTTCCCTTAAGGACTTAATGTGCCACATGAACATGAGCTTGTTCTCTATTAATGTTAAAATGTTTTGAGTGAATGAACATTTGAGTGAAATGAATTCTATCCGTTTTTATTTTTAGGATAAGGATGCTAAATTCCGGCTGATTCTGATCGAGAGCCGTATTCACCGCTTGGCTCGATATTATAAGACCAAACGAGTCCTGCCCCCCAATTGGAAATAGTAAGTATCAATCTTATTTGTTACAAGAGCCAGAGTTAGCCGTTGTAAATAGAGTAAAAGGACTGATAGTAGTGATGTTTTAGCTCATGGCTATATGTTCAACTGCTTTTTCAACTCTGCCATTATAACAGGAATACAGCCACAGTGATACATAAAGAAATGGATATGCCATTTCCCATTGAAACTATTTGCAAAGACAAGCTAAGGGCCATAGTTTGAACCTCTGATTTAGAACATGAACAAGCCCCATGAATCTTTTATTTATTTTACTTTTTAAAATATGTTTTTATTGGTTTTTTAAAAATATATTTCTTTATATGATTTCAGAGAGGAAGAGAAGTGATTGAAACATCAATGATGAGAGAGAATCATTGATTAGCTGCCTTCTGCACACCCCTTACTGGGGATCAAGCCCACAACGCAGGCATGTGCCCTTGGCTGGAATCAAACCTGGGACCATTCAGTCTGCAGGCTGCCACTCTATCCACTGAGCCAAGCTGGCCAGGGCTGTTTTTATTGATTTTTTTAGAGAGAGGGAAAGGGGTAGAGAGAGAGAGAGACATATCAATGATAGAAACAACATCGATCGGCTGCCTCCCTGTAGAGACCCCCATCTGGGATCGAACCCGCATGTGCCCTGCCTGACCAGGGATTGAACCGACAACCTTTTGGTTTCTGAGCCGCACCAGCTGGGCTGAATCACTCTCAGGTGGTTGATAGTTTCAGTTGGTGCCACTGACCCTAGGTGTTTATGTTATCTTTATTTTTGCATCAGTTGCTCACTATGATGATTGATTTCCAAACATTCGCAGTTTCCACCAGAAAGGTCTTACCTTATGTTGGCCAGTTCTTCCTTGGATGTCTGAGTGAGCATCTTTAATTCATTTTGCTTGAGCCACAATAAACTGACTCAGGAACTCAGCAGTCTGGTGCACTTTACACTTTGGGATTGTTTTAGCTGTGAGGGTGTATGAATGAATGTGGAGGACCTGTATTAACCCAGTCTTTCCCCCTCCCCCTTTTTCCTTTTCAGCGAGTCATCCACAGCCTCTGCACTGGTTGCATAAAATAATCTATGTACTCGAGCAATAAAATCATTGTTTAACTAGAAGTGTGATTTGTGTTTCTTTCCCTTAGAAAATTGTGTATCAGTGATTCTTACATGTTGATCTTTTGATATGGCAGTGTTTTTGCAGAATGAGAATTGTGTGGTTCCACAGACAGCTATATGTATCCATTGCTTCTCATAACATGCCCTGACTGGCATCAAACCCACCACCCATTGGACAAAACTCCAACCGAGAACTCTGGTTGGTACTAGGATATGGCTCTTGTTTGTTCAAATTATGTATATGTGAGCACATAAGATTTGAAGGTTTCCTTTTAGAACTCTTTTCTTCATTTAAAAATCAAGTGGCAGGTGTTAAATTGAATTTTAAACTGAAGCTATGCATATATACACTGGCCAGATTATTATCTCTTAACACATAATTTGGCCACTCAGTGTATATCCTGTGTAATAAAAGGCCAATATGCAAGTAGGCTGGTCAACTGCCCATGTCCCCTTCCCCTGGCCAGGCTGGCCGGACCCCACCCATGCACAAATTCATGCACTGGGCCTTACATATATGCACACACCAAGTGGCCAGATTATTATGTATTCAAAGTCATACCAGTTTATAAAACTGAATTAAGAACAGTCCCTTTTGCAGTATGAAGTCTAGGGCAACTACAACTCCGCTATTTCTCTGACACACATGCCTTCTGAATAACGTTTTGTGGGGGTTTTTTTGTTTTTTTTTTTTTTCAAGAACAGGTGAAATTCATATAAAATTTACCCTTTTTAAAGTGAATAATTTAGCGACATTTAGTATATTCATAATATAGTACAACCATCACCCCTATTATAGTTGCAAATTCATCACCCCAAAGTAAAACTCCATAGTATAAAGCAGTTACTCATTCTTCCCTGGCAAACCACCTATCTGCTTATCGTTCCTGTGGGCTTAGCTATTGGATATCTCATGTAAATGGAATCATGCAATAGGTGGCCTTACTATGTCAGGCTTTAACTTAGCATGATGTTTTTGGGGTCCATTCGTGTTGCAACATGTAACTACATTTTTATGATTGAATTGTAGGTACATACCATAATGTGTTAATTGATGAATATTTAGCTGTTTATAATTTTTCTGCTCTTGGAACAGTGCTGCTATGAGCATTCATGTACTTGTTTTGAGTCCCTGTTTTCAATTTTGGATATATACTTAGAAGTAGAATTTCTCTAAATAATATTGTACTGTGAGTTCTTGGTTTTTTAGTTTATACCTCTTCCCCTGGAGTCCTCATAATAACCTAAGTTTCCTACCGTTCATCTCCAAACTCTGAATCATAGCTTAAGTCTCAATATCTTCAGTCAGATTTACATCTTTGAGTTTTTTCTTGGTATCTCCCAGAACCCCCATTCTCCAGCTCCAATTCAGACAAGTTACCCTGAGACCTATAGTTCTGGGGTCGACTTTTGCCATCAATGTGGGAATTCTTTCTCCTTCCAGTGTCAGATTCCCTATTTCTATGTCTCATGTCCTCTTTCCTGGTTTATGCCTCCCTTTTGGTGAAATGTAAAAATAAATTATATAAGGTGGTTTGGGGTCACATTAAAGTTGCTTTGCAATTAAAATTTAATCTAGTAGCTTCCAAAGAAAGCGCTCAATCCTTGGACCTCATTTTTTCTGTTTATCTCAATTTCTAGGTAATTCCATCTAGTATTTTGTCTTTAAAAGATACTTTTGAGGTTATTTTTTAAAAATATATTTTATTGATTTTTTTACAGAGAGGGATAGAGAGTTAGAAACATCGATGAGAATCATCTATCAGCTGCCTCTTTCACACTCGCTGCTGGGGTGTTCCCGAAACCAAGGTACATGCCTTTCACCGGAATCGAACCTGGGACCCCTCAGTCCACAGGCTGACACTATCCAGTGAGCCAAACAGGTCAGGGCTGAATAATTTTTAATAATGCCTCTGCTTAACTGGTTTGCAGAATTCCTGAAAATGTAACAGTTGGCTCTTATGAGCTCTTATGACCCACATCCAGCTCATCACTCAGAGTTCATATTTTATTCCCTGAATTTTCTTTTTTATAGAAATCTGGGTTTTTTATAGATATATTTTCTCACCTCTGAATACTTAATAATAATCTTAATTTTTTTATATCTGTACACTGTGATTTCTCTGAGATACTTTTTTTTTGTTTATTTGTCTTTTATGTTAGTCTTCCCTCAAATGCCCAGTAATCCTTGTAAGGTTCTGATTTGTGATGCCCACAATAAAGTGCATTCAGTATTTGAATTTATCTGGATGCAGTTACCCTTTTCCACCACTAGGTGGCGTGTGTTATTGTGGGTAATGTTAACACTACTTATTATACACCTGCAGTTTTTAATTTAAAAGTACTCCTACACTAATATTTCTCTTATTTTTACAACTTCTCAAAAAACCTACTCCATATTTCTTTGGAAGGGGGCTTGGCATGAGTTCATTTAAAAAAATACTTATTTTTAAAAATTGATTTCAGAGAGGAAGGGAGAGAAAGAAAGAGAAACATTATTGATGAGAGATAATTATCTATCGGCTGCCTCCTGCACGCCTCACATTAGGATCAAGCCTGCAACCCGGGCATGTACACCAACCAGGAATCAAACCATGACCTCCTGTTCGTAGGTTGAACCTTAACCATTAAGCCATCCTGGCTGGCCAGCATAAGTTCATTTTTTTTTAAATTACCCCCATTTTTTAAATATGTTTTATTGATTTTTTTTTTTTTACAGAGAGGGATAGAGAGTTAGAAACATCGATGAGAGAGAAACATCGACCAGCAGCTTCCTGCACAATTCCCACTGGGGATGTGCCCACAACCAAGGTACATGCCCTTGACTGGAATTATACCTGGGACCCTTGAGTCTGCAGGTCGACACTCTATCCACTGAGTCAAACCAGTTAGGGCTAACCCCATTTTAAAGATGGGAAAATTGAAGCTCAGAAAAGGTAATCTTTCAGACTCAAACTAAGATCGTTAGGATGCCTAGTGTTCCTAACACTATATCTCAACGCTTCTTATGAACTTTTTTTGTGTTTTGTTTGTTTTTAGAGAGGGAGATAAGAAGAGAGAGAGATATATTGATGTGAGAGAGATACATCAATCATTTGCCTCTCATACCCAACCCAACTGAGGATCGAACCCAAAACCTAAGTATGTGCCCTGACTGGGAATCAAATCCCCGACTTTCCGGATGCTCCAGCCATCTGAACCACACCAGCCAGGCCTCTTTTTTTTTTTTTTTCTTTTTTCTTTTCTTTTCTTAAGAAAAGTGAAAAATAATAATGACCCATGCTTTTCTAAACAAGTCGACTTAAAAATTAACAGAAACATAGCTTGCTCTCTTTGGAGCATGTCCATGCCCTTCCTTTTCTGGGGCATGTACTTTCGCGCTCTCTTCCTAAACGCTAAGGGTTCCCACTAAACTAGCAACCAGCGGGCAGTGGCAGCTCATCCTAGGCTAACCCTCTGAGCCTGTCTCCAAGGCCCCCTTTTCTCCGACTCCAGTGAGCTAACAGCAGCCCTGCCTTGGCTGAGTTCTTTTCTATAACATTTCTAGCGCGTTGCCCTGCTCAGGATCTCTGCTATTGCTTCTACTACCCTAAGTCCTTCCTTGTTTCCATAAATGTACTCTCAAAATAAAAGTAAAAATTAACACAAACATTTTGGCTAATCCCTAATGTATGAAAATATCCATTACAGAAATCAAATTTTAAAATCTCCAGAAATCTCAGTAAATTTAGGCCCTGTTCTCTTTTATATGGTTTCTCTTTAATTTTGTTATCTGTAAATAAAAATTGGGTTTTTTTTAAGCTAAAGAAAAGAGTTGCCTTTCAGTAACAAGCTGTTCTGGCATCCCAGCCTCACCTGCAGCCACACAGCTTCTTACACTGTCGCCTGTTGCCATGGCTACAAACAGTGACATTTTTGGTCTGAAGGTTGTGGGTTATTGTTAAGCTTATTAACAGTGACATTTTTAGCAGAAGCTGGGCAATGACAACCACTGAATCAGAGGGAAGATGAGCAGGACTGGGCTACAGAGAGAGTTTCCACTGTGTCTGTAATGTATCCCCCCCACCCACACACACACACACACATAAGGTAGGTAATGTGTAGGGGATTTTTGCTATAGTCTGTCTTTCTGTATGCTCAACATTATTTTAAAAATATAAGGTCTAGCCGGGACCGGTTTGGCTCAGTGGGTAGAGCGTCGGCCTGCGGACTGAAGGACCCGGGGTTCAATTCCGGTCAAGGGCATGTACATTGGTTGCGGGCACATCCCCAGTGGGGGGGGTGCAAGAGGCAGCTGGTTGATGTTTCTTTTTTTAAATTTTATTTTATTGATTTTTCACAGAGAGGAAGAGAGAGGGATAGAGAGTTAGAAACATCGATGAGAGAGAATCATTGATCAGCTGCCTCTTGCACACCCCCTATTGGGGATGTGCCCGCAACCAAGGTACATGCCCTTGACCGGAATCAAACCCAGGACCTTTCAGTCTGCAGGCCGACGCTCTATCCACTAAGCCAAACCGGTCCTGGCTGGTTGATGTTTCTCTCTCATCAATGTTTCTAGCTCTCTATCCTCCCTTCCTCTCTGTAAAATTCAATAAAATATATTAATATATGTGTGTATGTATATATATATAATATATATATAGTCTAGCCGAAACCGGTTTGGTTCAGTGGATACAGTGTCGGCCTTCGGACTGAAAGGTCCCAGGTTTGATTCTGGTTATGGGCATGTACCTTGGTTGCGGGCACATCCCCAGTAGGGGGTGTGCAGGAGCAGCTGATCGATGTTTCTATCTTATTGCTTTTTCTAGCTGTCTATCCCTCTCCCTTTCTCTTTGTAAAATAAAAAAATAAAAATAAATCAATAAAATATATTTTTTTAAAATGAGGTCTAGAACTATAAAAAAACAGTTCACTCAGCAATTATTTATGCCACTTTTGTAACATGTATTCTAT